TCCACCCCTCTCTGAGAGTAAACAGTGAGAACTGACGACTTTTCCCTCCAGAAATCTTTTTCTCAGTATTTTATTTCCCTAGATGTGGTTTTGGGGATATTAACCTGCTAGTAGTTTCCATTCCTTAAAACATTTTTGGTATTTTTAGTTCTCTGTATAAAATGTCTTTCCTCCTGCTGCTGGATGCTCAACATTTTTGCTTTGCTATTTCCTCAAATCTTAAAGCACTGCTTTTTGTCTCCCTTAATATTTTCCTCATGTTAAACTTAAATATTTTGCCTTTTATCTTTGTCCATCTAGCTGCTTCTGCTGTCTTCCTTTAATTTCCTTTCTGAAATATGGTCACATCATTGCAGCCAATATCTATTTTTTTCTGACATTAGATATACAAGAGCTATTTCAGAGCACTTTTGTCTACTATGGCTTCTCAGTTTTGATTATCCCAGTCGAGGACCAAAATTCACATTAAGTATTGCTGCAATGTTCTCTAGTGAGAACAGCCAACTCTTTCACTTTACAGAAAGATGTGAAAGATTCCTGTAAGTGGATTATATAAAAGTTTGCTATTTTGGTGGATGATATAGTTGCAAAAAGTTGTGGGTTTTTTCTTTTTTCTTTTCTGGTTAGATGGAAAAACTGGTACAAATTATGCATGCATGAGACTAGTGATGTGCCTTCACTGGTAGCAGCATTGATATCAGGTGTAGAGTAATTGGTGTGCAGCTTTTTTGGTTTTGTGACATCTCTGGTTAAGATGATGGCTGTATATCATTTAGTATTGCATTCATAATACTAATCTGATTAGATAGATGCATGCCTCCAAAACTACAAGGATTTTATGCAGTAGTACTCTGTCACAGCTGAAAAGGGAAAGAAAAGGTCGTGCTTGTGATCATTTGACACTTACTCCCACTTGGAGGCTGAGAATTCCTTCTGTGACGTGATGGAGGATTGATGTTTGCAACTGAAAAAAGCTGTCAGATTGAGGATGGCAGTTTTTCCCTTTGGGGGAACCAAGAATGATTATTTATGGCATGTAGGTTGTTGTAGCTTAGACAGAGTTCTGGTGGAGAAGAGAAACAAGGCGCTTTCTCGGGGCAGAATATACAGTCTCTTCTGATCCCTTGTTTTTAGTGCTTTATTTTTAGATGTACTATTTTTAAACAGCTTGAAATACAAAAATATTTGGGTTTTTTTCCAGTTTAAAGAAAACCCTGTTGTGACACAGCATGACTCAATCTTTTTATAGCCACATCAAATACGTGTTGCTTAGGATAATGTAAAAATATACAAACAATAATAAAGGCAAAAACAAGAAACCAGCAGTTGTTATTGTAACACAAGGTACAGGGCAGCAAAAAAAAAAAGTTCTGTAAATAAATGCCTCATCAATATTTATTACTCATTCCAAACAAAACAATAATATGCTTTAACCATATCATACCAGAAGTAGTACAGGAAGTACAGACAGTATTTATTTAGTACATAGAAAGTATTTTACATCCCCTCTCTTGGTATTAACGTAGCAATTGTCTTAACCTGTTAATGAGTGGGTGTTAAGGGACATGTACAAAGTGAGAGTAGAATTCATTTTTTAGGTTCTTTAGAGACTTGATTGTTTTGATGCTGAAGATAATGAAGTTGTAGAGGTGGAGAGGACAGTGCTGGGAAGCCTCTAACCAGGTAGTAACTGGCCATGGGCTCCCGAGGCAGTACGGCTCGCAAACAGTAGGCTCCTAGCTCACAGGGTCAGCTTGTGACTCATAAATATTATTCTTGTCAGTGCAAAGCAGATCTGATTCTGAGCCTAAAACAGCAACCAAATGAATAACAACAGCTGACAGCAATGCAGTACACGCCTTTAATTCCAGCTTCGCCCGCCCAGTCTCCGTTCCCTGCGCAACGTTGGGTGCTGGGTTTGAAGCTCAGGGCAAGCCTGAAGGAGGCCTGGCAGCCAGGTGGTTCAGCGCTTGTGTTTCCGCTTCTGTGGCTTTTAGCAGGCTGTTGGTGTGTTTTTGTTTTTTTCCTAATCTGCCAAGCTCATCTTTTTTCAGCTGCTTTGCTGTTGTTAGTGCTGACACAAAGACTTTCATTTGCTTATTTATTGTACAGTTAGATCACATCTTTCACTGAGAAAACCTAAGAGAAGCCCAGTTGCTATTTGCTGACATCCAAACTACAGCTAGGCCCAGGGAGCAACTGCAAGCTCTGAGCCTGTGTTCACCCAGATCTGGCCATGCCATAGGGGAGCTCTGTTGGAGTTACTGAGTCTGCGCTGTGGCCAGTGCTGACATTGGGGTGTGGGCATCTCCATCAGCCCTTGTTCTGCTGGCTCTGAAGTTCCCTGTCAGTCCCAGGAGACCTGACCTGTCCCTGGAGTAGGTGGAGAGGGGTGGAGGGGAAAGTGTGTTGTGTCAAGGGCACGAGAGGGCAATTAGCAGCTGAGTCAATTAGTCTGTCCTCCCTGCAAAGCAGGTTCAAGTGCAGATGGACACCAGGTAACTAGCTCAGATGTAAATTCTCTCCAGTTTAGAGTACTGCATTTTTATGTGGATGGTAGCAAGCTCTAGCTGAAATGAAGATTAAATTCTCAAAAAATGTGCGATAAGAACAAATCATTAGTGTTTGCAATGTGGGCAATTGTAAAGCTTTGCAATTTTTAAGTATATATTGTTGGTATATGTCCTTGACCTTTAGGAAATATGCAGCCTGGAGAAATATGAACAGTTGCTTTTACAGCTCCTATGATGTGGAGTTTTTTCAGATGATTTATGACAGGATTTTTTTTTTTTTAGTCTTTCAAAACTATATAAAAACAGTTAACTGATAGCTGGACATGGTTATAATATCAGTTGGAAGTGACTGATGTTGATAAATTCAGGTTAGACTATGTAGTCATCACTTGTGCTGGGAGAGCAAGAACTTGGGGTTAGGTGATGTCCTGTAGAAACAGCACTGCCTGTTTTGCTGCCCAGACCAACGTGGTGCGTGGCCACCCCACTGGTGTTAGGTTCCTGAAGAAGGGAGGGCGAGAGCAAAACTTAACCACAGATGCAGTTAGGCACTGCTCAAGCCCGGGCTCAGCTGTCTTCCATGCTATTTAGACTGCTGTCTTTTTATTAAATCTCTGCATCCTTTTCCATTTGACTGTATGTGATACCATCGTACTCAGATTTGATTACAGCTGCACATTAAAGCAGGGTGTAAGCACTGGTGAGAGCTTCTCAGGGCAAGCTCAGCCTTCCTGGCACTGCCCCTCTTGCTTGCATGCTGGTTCGCATCGCTTTTGTGGAAGAACCCTTTGGCCTGGTAGTGTGTGTGGCTTAAGTGAACAACAGACACTGACTTTTATAAAGCCTAGTGTTTTGCAAACTGTGTGCACATTTTCCAGATATCCTGTGGCTTTGTGAGCTTTGTCCTCTTCTCATTGAATTTACTGGGTCTGATGCCATAGCTTCCAATGGGAAGCTTGATTGTTCTCCCACTCTCGTTTCTTAGACATTTTCTGTAGCTTACTCTGTTATCTGATATTAAACCACATTCTGTATAGCTTTGTGGAGAACGTAATTCTCTGTATTTATTTTGATACCATACCTATTTGTCCATCTTGCCAGTTCCTTTTTCCAAGTGTAATATCAGAAATAGCTGATGAGTATACTGAAGGAAATTATGCTTCTCTGTTGGACTTCTGTTTTCTCCAATAACATGACCTTCAACTAATTTTTTTCAGTCACATGGCTTATAACAATTTCCAAAAATTAATTGGTTCCTTCATTTTCTCAGTGCTTCCAGACCACTGCTTCCAGCCAAAGAGTTCAGAGTACCTAAATTTTCTTATTTGATCTGTAAAATTATGCATTATTTTATTCTGAAAAATACTTTATAATAATGAATGGATTGTATTCTGTTGAATGTGACTTGATCACATAACATACCTGAGAGCAGTGTAGCTAAATCACATTTGAAATTGTGGTATTAAAAAATGAGGGGAATAGAATGAATTGCCATTTTATTGGCCACATGGTCCTTGATGGCATACTCGGTAACTTCTCAGTGTAAAACATGTTAATTCCAGCATCACTAATTTCAGTATGACATAAACAAAAATTAAAGTTTAAAAGGGCAAGAGGGCAGAACTCCATTAGCATCATCTGCCAGGCTACAGAAAATAGGTTTGGGTTTGGAGAGCAGATTTATAGCTGAATTAAAAGCATTGATCTATAGACTGGATTTAAATTTGTTTGTGGGTGTATCCATAGAACTTAACTACTGTTCAAATCAGCTGGAAAAAAATGGATTTTGAAGGGGTACAGCTTGAAATATCACAAGTTTTCAGTAGCATCCTGAAATAGTAGTCTCTGAGTGTGGGGAGAGAGTATCTATTTAGATGTCAGTTCAGCACGGTGACTAACAGATGAAAAGGGACTGTTAAGACATGCAGCCGACAAGCTGCATAACATCATCTGCATAACATCATTTGCAGAACATCGCTGAGTATTACTGCATCAGGCTCACAGCTTCCATTTGAGTAACAGCGTATGTGCGGGCTTGACTAAAAAACTGTAAAGGATGGAGAATCCGCTGTACCCAGTTTAACAGTTCAGGTGGTAATTATCCTCACTACTAATACTTGCACTGTAGGAGTGTAATTTTTGCATCCTTAGCTTCCAATAACTGCATCTCAGTTGGAATAATGGGGGGGTGGGTGGTTCTGCTAGAGTTAAAATGTCTGCCATCTGAAATCCCTTCTGTTTGTAGGCATTCACAAAACCCCTTGGAATTACCTTCTAATATTTGAGGGCACTGCAATTCTTCAATAGTTCAGAGGCAAGTCAGTTGACATAATTTATGTATGCTTTTATGTAATGCCTAGATCAAAGAATAGAATGCAGTGAAAGAAAAATATTATGGAAGTTGGAATTTGACTAGATTGTTTTCAGTTATTTAATGCTAATGAGAAACATACTAACCTTTTTGATGCTTATTGTGCTTTCCTGCAGGGCAGCAAAGGACACTACAGGTATCACTGGCAGAGCCACAATGTCAAGCACAGTGGAGTGGATGACATGGTCCTTCTTTCCAAAATCACAGAGGATTCCATAGTGGAGAACCTAAAGAAACGATACATGGATGATTATATTTTTGTATCCTTTTTAATGTTGTTTTTAGCGGGGCCCTGTGGACTTGCTGAGCCAATGTGAAGCTAATTATATGTATGTATTCTATTTAAGCAGATTGCTCAAAGATGCTGAGGACAGTTTGCCTGAGATTACACAAAACACATTGTAAACAGAGCTAATTAGAAGGGTTGAAATTAAGATCTGAAAATTTATTTTAAGGTATTCTTTTTGATATTTGGAATTGTGCTTGTCATTGTTGAATATAGGTCTGTATTTATACAGCCACGTGAGCCCTGAAGCTACAGCAGTACTTTGAAGAGCAAGAATTAATAGGTTTTAAGGCATATATATGTGTCTTGATACCATGTTGTCTTCTATACCTCCCAACTTCTAATGCTTTCAAAATAGCATTTCTTCTGTGACAAAACCTCATTTACAACTTATTCTGCAATTGTTAATACTGTGAGTCATGGGCTGATGGAAACATGTGAACATCTGTAAATCTACAGTGTTTGCACTTTCAAATTTTTTTTTCTATGACTAATGAAAACATGAAAGATACGTGAACATTAACCTAACAAGAGAAACAGATTTCAGCACCAAAGGTTTCCTTTTTTTTTTTTTTTTTAAATTTCATATGAAAGGAATTCCTTGAGATAAGAATAGTCACTATTTCATTTTTAGCTTTCACAGTGTAACATGAGCTGCAATAATGAATTTGGTAAACACTAGTCGATGTGATTACTTACTAGAAAGTGATACTGTGTTGTCTTCTGCTGTAGCCAGGTTTTCATACTTTCTAGTTGTATCTGGAGAATCATTTCCTTGAAGAGTTTAACTTTTTTTAGAAGAAAGGGAAGGAAATACAACATCTCCTGGCTATTTTCATATATTCAGATGGTTAAGAGCTAAGTAGCAGCTCTATTTAGCAAGGACTGATATAGGAAAATTACTATTGCAGTTGTGCTGATGTTTCCATCCCAAACTGCAGAGGTTTTTAATATGTGTGTGCGCATGGGCTTGGATCCTCTGTTCAGTTAAGCACTGCACCATTATTAAGTTTTTCTTACAGAAACGTGTTAAGTTGCACAGTATTTGTCAAACAATGGTATTTTAGCAAACTATAGCACTCTTCCTGCTAGTAACACGAGTGCTTTTGTCCCGGTGGAACGCTGCATCTTCCATGCAGTACATTCACAAAGTCTTCAGTGCTCGGTGCTGAAGAAACAGTTTTATGCCTTTTTTCTTAGAAAAATAAGTGCGATTATGGAGATGGTCTTTCTGCTGAAGCAGGAATAAGTATGTTTTCCAAGGGGACTTGTGGTCACATGAGGGATCAGTGTCTTCTTTTAAAGCATTATAATTCCTTTGTGTAGGGAGAAAGACTCCTTTTGCAGTTCTGCGAAGGCTTTTCATTCTAAAATGGAGATCATCTCTTGAATCTTTCAATTGTTTGTATGTCCACCCATGAATGAACATTTCTCTGTGCTACATTGCATAGAGATTACCAAAGCACCCCAGAAAATGCTGGTATTGTTTACCAACAGAAAACTGTCACTTTGGATGTTTATACTGATGCAATGAATGCTTGATTTATTATAACCAAGACCCAGATGTTGTCACTCTTCTTTGAATTAAATTAAAAAATGTATGAAGAAAGCATTGTAAATTACCAGTATGAAATTATGTTCACTGGGTTATACTTCTCTGATGTGTTACCGTTTTGTGCTATGGCACCACAATAATAGATTCTTACATAGGATAATCCAGCAGGATAATTTTCTTAATTTTCCTACTTTTGTCCAGAAAGCTTAGATAGTAAGTTTGCCTGTGAACAATTCCAGATTGTTAAATGAAACTGCACTGCAACACTTTGGACTCATTGACATGGGTACACAGCCAACTCCCAGCTCAATGAACCAGTCCTGCCTGTAAGGCAGTATCAGTTGCTTCACGTATGTACACTGCAATTCTAATTCCAAAGGTTTCTGAAGTATTTTGTGGATGTTGATACACATGCAGCTGAATGCAGAACGGTGAAATACGAACATTGAAAATGTTGCAAAACAGCTTTCTGGGACTAATCATATACCGAGTGTCTTCTTATAGGGCAGCCTGGGCAGCCTGCAGGAATAAGGCTCCTAGGGGCCGTTAATAGTTACACTCATCAAATAACACCACATTCTGAATTACTAATTCCCTTAGCTGCTCCACTAGTACATACAGCTGAGTAATTGTCCAGCTTAGCTCAGTTGTGGCTGTTGCCATCTGACTGCATGCTCAGCACTACCTCTGTGAGATCAGAATGTGTCACCGTGCTATATTCTGCAAAGGTCAAAACATTCTTTTCTCCTACTGACAATATGACCTCCTAAGTTACAAAGGAGTAAACCAGTTTAAATATGCCGTTTCCTTTCTGTATTTTTATTCAAGGTGTGTCATGTTTGGGCCTCTAGTACATGTTTCTATACTTAGCTTGCCCTAAAATAAATATTTTGATAATATGAAAGTATCTCACTGAATGTTATGTTTATATTCTATGTAAGCCTGCTACTTTCATTTTTATTAACAACTGATGTAAGCTGTGGGGTTTGTACTAATATTTGAAGCTGTGCTGTATTACATAATAGATGGAAAAGTTACTTGGCAGTCGCTAGTGGTAAGATAATACTTTATGAAACTGTAGTCACCTTAACTTCTTTTGAATACAGACATATATTGGCTCTGTATTAATCTCTGTGAATCCTTTCAAGCAAATGCCATATTTTGGGGAAAAGGAAATTGAAATGTACCAAGGAGCAGTAAGTAAAGCAGTCTAAAATGTTTTGCAGTATTCAGGGGCATGTAAATATTATTCTACATGGTTAAACTCTTGGAAGCATTTGTTTCTGGGTTTCGATAGCATTGCCTGGGAGATCTTGGCTGATGTCCATTATCATATATTGTGTCTTGAAATTAATTCCCTGGAACACAGGATTAGTGTTTCAAGAAAATACTTGTATTGATTAAGTCTAATCCTTATCAGGTTTCTTGCATTGGCACGTCCCTTCTCCTGCAAAAGTAGTTTTTAAGCTATTGTATGCTTAAAGTGCAGTGCACAATATAAAATGGCCATTAGTGGATTTTGTAGACTATGACTTGAGAACTTTCAAGCTGGACAAGAACAATACAAAAATTGAGATGCCAAGATTAGATGCCACTTCTGAAAATCCAGCTTGAAGAGTGAGTCAGCCCAAGGACATTAGGGACTTAAAATTCAGTTTCCTGCTCCCCTCGAGTTGGGCATGCCCATAGATTTGGGAAACCATTCAGTTTGAATGGACTCAGTGGGTGAAAATGAGACCTACGGCACCAGGCTCTGTGTTGTGGTTTAGGTAGTTTATTGTTAGCATATGACCACTGGTGGAATAGGCTTAGATTATGTGAGTTTCTCTTGGACAAATAATATATTTCAAGCACAGACCATTTTTAGAACAGGGTGTTTATGATAGTTAGGAGAAAATTATGGATGAGAGAAAGATCAGTAACAAAACCCAGAGACTTTGGTTTGTTTTTATTAAATGAACAAAAAAATTCCTGGGGAAAATTCAGTACAAATGGGATTCAGAATTGTTTTTCCAGGAAAATAATTCTTCCAATTTCAATAAAAATTTGTATTGCTCTTTCTGTGTTGTTTAATGCTGCATTGAAAAATTATTCTCTTATTTCCCCTTCTAGGCACAGTATGAAAACCCACCACATATTTATGCTCTTGCAGACAGCATGTATAGAAACATGATTATTGACCGAGAAAATCAGTGTGTCATTATTAGGTAAGAAAAAGATCTTTAAAAAAATATTTTATCATCTCCTTTTGATGTTTTAACTTCAAGAAGCAGAAAAGTTAATTTTTTATTATATCAATAAAAATCCTTTGTGTCCGTGACCACTGAACGTTTTGGGGTTTTCTAAGCTAGCTAAGGACTTTCTGACCTGCCCTTTTTTTTTGCAGTGAAATCCTGGTGATAGCTTCACCACAAGAAATCCTTTTCTCGTATACCCAGCTTTATGCCCAATACCAAAACTGCAATAGCTTGCATGACTACACGAGAGAGGAGGATTAACAACTGTAGCAGCCACAGATACTGTTAAATCCAACATCTTGGAATTTTGCTTGCATTCAGTCAGAGACAAAGGGAGGGAGGAGAGAGATACTGGAAGATAGTTTTGTCTTCACTATTACTCTATTTTAATTATTAGGCTGAGGGAATTCACTGTAGAATTGTTACTGAACTGTTTTGATGACAGGCATTACTTAGGTCACAAGGTGAGTTTTGGGCCCAGAGGTATGCTTTCTCCTCGTCTGTGGGTTTGTAGATGGGGTGTGATAAAAAAAAGTGTGCAGAGAGTAAGAACTGCAGGATATTTGAGCTGGTACACTACACCTCCTCTGACTTTCCTTCTTACATAGAAAACTACAGAGGTTCACTGTAGTGCTCCTGGAAATGCGCTTTTCCTGTGGCAGTGGTCTCCAGCGTGGGGCTGTGCAGTGAAATCCATTGGGATGTGGGAAGAAAATACGAGACCTTCAGTAGTAGATGTGTGTAATTTATAAATAGATGGATTATATACACACACTGGGACTGTGTGTTTTAATGATGGTGTGTGTGATCAAAAGGATTTGGAGACCACTGGCCTATGAGACTTTTCCAAGAACTAGGGAAAAGAAAGAGGAGAAAAAGAAAAGCTTGAAGGGAAACTCATTATTTTATTAATCAGAGCTTTTCTTAAGCTTTTTATCATTTCTCTGTGGAACACACTGAAAGGCGTCACTATGAATTTAATTGCTGTTGAATTTAACAAACGAGAGATTTCAAGACTGAATGTTTTTTTTGTCCAGGGGGCCCTCTCTGGTCTTCTCCCTGGGGTGCCTGTGTGCCCTGCAGTGTCGCAGCCCCGAGGTGGCTGGATGTCAGTGGGGATCAGATCAGATGCTGTGTAGCTTAGTGCACTCAATCCCTTAGGCTGGGACCTGCCAGGAAATGGTGGATGGTCACTGATGTTTAAACTTAAATGCCCTTGCACCAGCCACTTACTAATTTCATGTTGTCACGGGAGTATTATAAAGAACAGAGCTTAGTAGGTGGGTCTTGATTGTGGAGGTACTCCATGTGCAAGTGTTCTGTACCCTACTGAATGATCCGGTGTGAAAATGGATTTCATTTTAATATATCTCACTGATGAGCTGCTGTGAAAGCTTGTGAGGAATAATTGTTTGAAAGTTATATTCCCTGTTTTATTTGCTTGAATCTATGCCTGGGGGTCATCCAGGCAGAGCTTTTCCTGGGTGACATGGTACAGTGGAAAAGTGCACAGGTGTGTCCTTCTTAGTATCAGCAAAGTGATGCAGGTATGTGGAAACTGTTGATTTTACATGTAGAAAGGTCAGCCAGGCGTTAACAGCTTGCTACGCTGAGCTATACTCCTATCAGAGCTTCCCTGTTCCTGGGCCCCTGGCTACAGCATGGTGCCATGTGAAACAAAATGCCCAGAGCTCCTATTCCCGTCTCTCATAGATCTGAATTGTTCCCTGAGCTCAGTCTTCCTTTTTGGAAAACTGTTGCCATGTTGCCTGTTGCCATGCTGAAGATACTAGTCCCATTTAGTCAAATTCAGACCTGTTAGGAATGGGTAAAATTGGGATTTATTTTGCTTTTTGAACAAAGTAACATCCCAGAGCCTGGGATGTTTCACATGAAGCTAAAATCATAGTGAAAACCTTTAGACTGTGGTGAACTGTGATTAAAAAATGTATTTTTTGATCCATGGCTAATGCCCTAAAGTGCAATGAATGCAGAGGGTCACATTTTCAGAGCATTGAGATGCAGATCTGAGATGCAGACTTACAGGTTTAAATTCATGTGAGAATTCTTGTGTTCAAATGATGGATGACACGCTCTTTGGATTGTCTGTGTTTTGTATGTGTGGAGTGAATTTTCTCTCTGTGTGCACAGCCTATTCAAAATCTGCTGGAGTTAATGGAAATCTACTGCAAAATTGAGACAAGAAAAATCATGTTTGCCAGGGACATTACAGAGAGTTCCTCTTCCTTTCTGCACGTTTATTTTTCCTAGGATTAGTCTTATTACAAACACTGTAAAAACTGCGGACTAGACTTGCAGGTAGTTTTCATGGTGATACTTGATTTTTTGGGACTCTTAGAAATTATTTTTATGAAATCAAGTAACTCAGCCATTCACAAAATTTATTTTGTTTGGTTGATACTTTAATCCTTTTGACCATGTTTCATTTAAACTGGTTAGATACATCCTGGATTTTCTGATTTTAACATCATTATTTCTAACAACTAGAGCTGGCTTAAGAATGAAGTTTCTTGAACTTTGGAATTTGTTTGCTTACATTTTATTTCATAGACCAGAAGGCACTGAAATTGCTGGCAGACTAGAAGCTCCCAAGATGCTGCAGCTCTTGAGTGAAATGAATGTTCTAGCTAGCTTCATGTCTACTACCACACCAGCAGTTTCACTTAATAGCTGTCAAGGACTTTACCATTTCTGCTCCTAAACTGGCAATTCTCAAAAAATTGAGATAGAGTTCTGTCTGTCTTCAGAAACACAGAAGTCTGCTGAACCTAAGCAGTTTCAAATAAACCCTTGTGTTTCAGTGAACCATAGTTTTTGCCATAAAAATTTGTCCTGTGGAAAATGAGTGACAATAACAATGTGGTTATTGTGAGGTGCCTGTTTGCTTCTCTGCTTCACAACTAGTCTGAATTTGGAGTGACTTCACTGAAAATCCCTGGTGGAACAGAAGGAGCAGAGCAAGCTAGTACAGAAACAAACCTAGTTTTTTCCTCCTTTTCCCCTCTCAAGAATGCAGATTTCCCCCCTAGAGAAAGGTTTGCAAAGAGAGAAGGTAAGAAATAAGGTGTAGACGGGACTGATTCACAGTCAAATCAAAAAGGCTATGCCTGGCTTATGGTGCTTGTGGAGTCTCAGGAATGGAGACTCAAGGATGATGGGGAAGGGGCTGGTGCATACCTGTGTCTTCCTACAGCACATGGGTTGGGCACCTGTGGCACTTACTGCTGGACCTGGGAGGGGACGTGCATTCCACGGGCCTAAACATAGATTTCCAGGCAGGTGAAGGAAGGTCTCTGCAGTGTCCTGCTGTAGTGAGGACCCTGTGTGTGTGTGAGGATCCCACCCCCTTTTGCCAGGACATGTGATTCCAGAATTCCAGATAATGCATTAAGATACCGATAGAAAAAGCTCATCCTCTTTGAAAAGCCAGTGAATGAACTAGGAAAGCAGATCCAAAAGAAAACACAGTTCTCTGACAGGCTGAATAGATAGCAACCAAAAGTAATCTTTTTATGTGATAATACTAATTTAAAAAGAAAAACTGTTACCAAACAACCTTTCCAGGGCCAGGGAAGCCTGTTTCATTAGTGGAGTAATTGCAGCATATATGCATTAAGAAAATTACATGTACGCATGTCTAATTATAGCTGAGGAGCCATGAGCTGTTTTGAATGGCTGTTACCAGTGTAAACAGTGAGGGTATTCATGAGCTGGGTTGGGGCTGGGCTGAGCGCAGGTGCGGAGCGTGTTCTTGCTTAGGTGGGAGGAGGGAGCAGAACCTGCCGTCGTCTTCCCTCATTCTGTATGCGCCGGGCAGAATCACCAAGGAAATCTACTCATCTGAGTAATGCAGTTATGCTGGAGTTTGAGTCTCATTAAGTTTATGTTTTACTGAGGCAGGATATTTAATTTAAACCTTTATTGAACCAAGCTCATAAATGCCTATTGCAGCAGACTGTTCACATTTCTTCCTTGCTTAAAAGGGCAGCCCTTCCAAACTATCAACAGAGAGTTGTCCAGTCAAGGTCTTAATTATGAAGGATTGTCTGCTGTGGCTTTCAATTCCTTCTGGACTATCATTGTCCTTTAATTAAGAGAGTGGAGACTATGATTAGTGTTTTTCTATTATGCAGCAATAAATTTGTTTCTTCAGAATGTTCTTAAGGTTTTACCTTTCTATAAAGTTGAGGACTGTATCTTCACTTTCTTTCTGTGATCTCTGCCAGGAGATGTTGCAGTTGCTTTAAAGCAGTTTTTCAGTCTTTGTTTGTAATTTTAGTTTACATTTTACATCCATGTGGCAACGTTTGAGTACAGTAAAGCTATGTATGATGACCACGTACCTGAAAAGACAATGCATCTTAAATACTACAAATATATGTTAATGGAAAGATTGTTTACCATCCCAACTGTTTTTGATGAACAACTCATGTCTATGTTAAGTCTATTAAGTTTAAAATTTAATATGAGAGTTCTTGTCAGCTTCTGTATCTCGGCTTTCCAGGAGACTCAAATGACTGATCGTTCTAAACCGTCTGTACATAATCTAACTGGAAATATGGTTGAATTGTAATGAGGAAGCAGTGGAAACGTAAGTCTAATGCAGTAAAAAGAGTTAGGTAAAAGCTCTGATTCAGAAGGCAAAAATATTTCCCTGAAGTTATCCTACTGAGGTTTCTCTGAACATAATTAGAGAAAATAAATTTTCTGTGTAAACAAGCTAAAAGCTTACCCAAACACATCAGAGTAGTTTATATATGCAGTGTTCTTTACTGGCAGATCCAAGAGTTCTTTATAAATATTTGTTATGAAAATTTCTACATTGTCCTGGCAATGTACATCTATATTACTTGTATTGTTTGACAGCCAGGGATACTTTTACATTACATGTCACTCAGAAAATTCATTTAAGAGAGAAGGAGGCTGTGTATTGGATCTGGCTTCTCTACTTTAGTGACTGATTATATTTCCTCTGGGAAGCAAGGAAGGAGCAAAAAATTGTACCTCTGTGTTTGTAGTCTTATTCTGATTTCAGCTAAGTGTTAATTGACTTTGCTGAACAAAATGTCACTTTTCTGAAGTAGCAAATAGTGCTAGAAGAAACAATATGTCTTTCAAAGCATTATCTTTTTTGTTACTGATTGAGACTATGCAATGTTTTTATTTTTAGCATGAAAAGTCTCTGAGAAAATTGTAAGTACCACAATCCACTTACCTTAAGCCACTATAACCATTTTTTTCAACCTTTAAAACCCTCTGAACTTCCAACATACTTAAAACTACCATGCTAGAAAATGATTCTTACGTCTTCTTAAAATAGCTTTAATAGCAGCAAAGCAGTAAGATATATGTGAAGAAGCTTCTGTATGAGAATCTAGAGCTGACTACCTGAGTTTTACTGGGGGCAAGATATCATCCCATCAGGTAAAGTTACTTCAGTTCATAAATATTGCATCATCCTGTTTTATCCTAGTTTAATTGGAGCAATTTACTGGTCTCTGATCAATAAAAGCATAAAACTGAAAAAAAAGCGTATGCATCTGTAAACCTAAAAAAAAAAAAAAATCTAAACTCTGAAAGGCAGTCTTTTGGCCAAATTAATTTAATATAAAGGACCACTTATATTGAAATAGGGACTAACAATAAAACGGAACTGTGTTCCTCCGGGTCAGTTTCTGTGTCTGTACTATGGAATGAGAAATACAAGCCAGTCTTAATTTGAACACACAGGAGAAGGATAATCTATGCATCAAAGAAAATCTTACAGAAACGTGTTACTTTTTTACTGCCTTGTAAATAATACCTGATCAGACTCATTCAGTGTTTAGCCCTGGATCCTCCTCTGCATGCAGTTGAAAACTGCATTTATAAACTCAAGAGTATGGTTGGGTTTAGATTGGTTTGTCTGTCTTGTTTTATACAACAGGATGAGCAAATTTACTGCGAACAAATTTTAAAGAAACGTTATTTTAATTATCGAACTATTGTTGATTTGAACTTCTAAATTACAGTTTGCCATCCAGCAAACTGTCTGTCCCTGTGAATGTAGTAGATACCAGTAATACGGGCTTTCTTCTTGATGCTTAGGAAAAGGTGACTTGGAATAATAAAAATCATGGCCTGCGCTTCACAGATGAGGTGCTCAAGAAGTATTTTTTTCACCTTTTCAAGGTTCCTGTTTGATCTGTAACGCTGCAGTCAGGAGGAGACAAAAGCATGAAAACATTTGGAAGCTTTAAAGATGTAAAATGGTATTTGCAGCTTGGCAGTTTGTGGAGCTTTTTTAGAATTAAACCTTTGGAAACGTCTCCGTTACTCCTTATGCTGATAAGGAGCGATGAGTTGACATTCACAGCAAGTCCTTTTCCTGTGCAGGACATGCTGATGTTTCTCTGGCAAATGTAGCTAAAATTTTTGCAGGAAAAGATGTGCATTTGATCCATATCCAGGAACAAGTAGGCGCAGGATAGAAAAGTCAACAATATTCACTGAAATTATACAGGAGCTTAAAGATAGCACAGATTTTCACACAAGAAAAAAAATATTTCAGATGTCTTTATGACATTGAACCAACATCCATGTGTTGGTTTTTTGTATTAGTATAGTTGTCTGGGTCAGGGTCAAGTCAAAGCCAACTTGCACCAAGATTTTCATAAGTCTGGAGGAATTCTGTTGAAATTAAGTTAGCTTTAAGGTATGAAATAAAGCATGAGGTTGGATTGCCTGGCATGCCAATGTTCTTCCCTCTTGGGAAGCTTGCTATTTGTGAGAAGGCAAATCTACTGATGTTGTAAACATTATTCACCGTTGAAGTGAAATATTATAAAGGAAGGAAGGAATTGTGAAAGCTAGTATGGAATATTAAGACTTCTTGTACCCTGTGTCAAGAGGCATAGGAACAGGAAGGTAGTTCTTCCGTCATTCAGGATGTGATTAATAATGTCTCATTATTTCATTCAGGAACACCTAAAACAAAAGAATCCTGCAATGAAGTAGGTATCTAGCATGGCATTCAAAGCTTGCATTTTGGAATGAGTTTTTGTGTTAAGAGCTGAAATCCCACTAAGTTTAGATGGGAATTGAGTTACCACACTTGTTCTCTTTTAAGCGTCTTGGTTTAATTATATTTATTTCTCAATTTACGTAGTTTTCTGACTTTGAAATCCCACAGAGATTCTGGTGTCCATGCAAGATGATGTATCCAAAATAATTTATTCACAAACATATCCAAGTACCATGCTGCAGTACTATGGCAGGGTCTATATATTACCAGCTTAGCTGATGTAAATATGGTATATATTTATTATTACTCATTGTTAAGGTATCTAGTCTTGGTTAACAAGATAAACCTCAAATTACTCCATTCTAGAGTTGTTTAAAAACTAACAGGTATGTTTTTGTGTTCCTTTTTTTGTAGCGGGGAAAGTGGTGCTGGAAAGACTGTAGCTGCTAAATATATCATGAGTTACATCTCCAAAATTTCAGGAGGTGGCCCTAAAGTACAGGTGAGTTGATAGAGAGTAATACTGAAGCATAAGCACAGTCTGCAGATTTACTTCGGAAGCAGAATGACAAAGGTCTGTCTTAGCAGACACTGGCAGCCAAGAGGCACTCCACCGAAGAAGCTTGTGGGTGAGCAGCTAGAAATACATTCAAGCCCTCAACAGCAGAGAGGCAACGAGAGTGAACTGCTTGCTTGCGGATTGCTGGGCTGTCTGTGTGATTGGAGCCATATGAGGGAAATCCACAGACCCAGAATCATCTCTGCTAGAAGTTTTGTAGCTCTCATGATGAATTATGCCTACAAGCATTTTTTTGTTTTAGTTAAAGTGTAAAAGGTACTTTAATTAGTGTTCTTAACCAGATTTAGAACAACCATTGGTCTCCTTTTACTAGGTATGTGGGGTTCTTTTCCTCCTGTGTTGGCGTTCTATTGAAAACTTTTGGGCTTTTTGGGTTTTTATTACTTCCATTAAATCTCTGATTTTCATGCATACGTCAGACAGCCAACAGCGGGAACATCATCTTGTTGTATGAGGTAATCTAGTCAAAATTAGAGTATCTGAGGGCTAGCTGAAACAACCAGTAGTTGTTTTTGTTAGTAACTCTACTACCAATGTCTGCTCCATCTATCGAAACCTATTAACTAAAGCTAATGGAGTGAATTGGCTGTAAAAATTCCCTTAATGACATTACAGCGTCATTCATTGACTGACAGGCAGTGGTAGGTGAGTAGTAGCTGCTTTTACCGTCCACTCTTTTTGAGTGCTTACTGTTAGTTTTTGCTTTATGGCAGTCTCTGATGTTGAGTGTGTTCTTTGTTCTATGCTTAGTTTTGCGCAACAGTGATACTGGAAACATTGCAGAGAATAACTCAGTAACCAAAAGAATGATCCAGGGAAAGTATGCATTGTGTTATTTTTGGAATAAATATAATGATACTTCATAAGTAAATATTTTGTTTTATTTAAGAGATTCCAGCTTCATGTACAAAATTAAAAAATACTCTTAGTGATTACAGTTGATGAAGTTGGTAAGTTGCATAAGAGCATTTCTTTTGAAATAAAAATCAATCTTCTCTTCACAACCCAGCATGCTTTGGGTTTGTTCCAAAGTTAATATCTTGTCCATACTTCCAATTTCCAGGATCAACTAAAGAGAACTTTATTGCTTTCTAAGACAGCAAGATAGCAGCATCGCTGATCCCAAAACAGGTTGCTGAAGCACTTGCAGATTTCTAAATTTCACGCTGCTCTGACTTCATCAGTTGTGCTTCCAGACCCCCATAAAGATTTAAATGCTCATGTGTAAGAAGGAAATCGTTTAAAATCTAGATGATGAAAAAAACAGATCAATTTGCGGGCTGTGTTGCGTGGCAGAGCAGTGAACAGAAAGACCAGTTTTTTTAGCCTTAGACATTTTGTTCAATTTTGTAGGAATTTCTTCAAAAAAGTAGGAACTAGAAGCTCTGAAGAAAAAAGGCAGTTAGTTAGATTCTATTCCTTATCAGATAAAGAGGATTTCTTCCAGATGCAGGCCTTCTTGTTTCCTTAATATATCATTTAAATGTCATGGTTTTCTAGAAAATCAGCAAGAACTTAAAAAATGCCTATTTCTGAATCTACTTCTCTTGTTTCCTAAAATTTTAGCATGTTAAAGATATTATTCTACAGTCCAACCCTTTACTGGAGGCCTTTGGAAATGCAAAAACTGTACGGAACAACAACTCCAGCAGATTTGTAAGTCCCTCTACCTTTATTCTTCCAAATTCTGTGCTGTTACAGAGATGGTATTCAGGACTATAATATAAACTGACTACGAATGAGGTAAATCTAAATAAAATCTGAAGTGTGCTTTAAAACATGAAGTGTCTGTTGAGAGGCCTGTATTTCATTCTGTATAGGTTGTACATTTGTTTCTCTTACAATATATACCGGTCACAATTTATTTATAAAATGTTCAGTCTGCAAGCAAATAACTTATCAGCAACAAAATGGCCAGTTTTCCAGATCAGTAAAATACATGCAGTAATATATACTTGAAAAAAAAAAATCAATAGCTTTTTTAAGAATTGATGAAACCATCCTTAGAGTTGTTTGATGGAAATGTCTTTACTAATATGTACAGAAAGTAGGCAGGAATTATTTTCAGTCTGTCAGTATTATCTTCAGTATTTTATAATTTGAAATGACTTTGCTAGATCACATACTATAGGTTCCATTTTTAAAAGTTACACATAGGCTTTACAAATTTATTACAAATTTGAGATTCATTCTTCAGCCAATGTGAATGTAATGCAATTAATGTCTCCTTGAAAGAAAAAGAAAATTACTTTACCTTTCTTCCAAGCAGAACACAATGTATTTACTATTGGTCATAAATATGTTAAATGTACTTCCCGTATAGGTGAGCCTTATGGTTTCCTTTATACTAAGCCAGGGTCTCAGCAGTGAAAAGAAGCCACTGACTTCCTCTCTACATTTGCGTTAACACATGACATGTTACGCCGAGTCTAGCGCCATTTAAATGCAGGAAGAAAGGTAGATACATGATAGTTCAAGAAGCTAAGCTGAGGTTATACCTTGAGGCAGCTGTGTCACTGCATCCATAAAGATTAAATACCCTGGTAACCCTCCCTGAGATATGGTACAAGTGCATGATTTCAGATTTGTATTTACCAATCATTCAACAGCTTTAATTATTTCTTGCAGGGGAAATACTTTGAAATCCAGTTTAGCCCAGGTGGAGAACCAGATGGAGGGAAAATCTCCAACTTCCTACTGGAAAAATCTCGAGTTGTAATGAGGAATCCTGGGGAGAGGAGTTTTCACATTTTTTACCAGGTCAGAAGTGTACAGGTTCTTTCTGAGTTATTTAAAATAACTAGGACCAGTTTTTCCTTTTGATTGAAAAGTCTTGCTCAACACAGTGAGGTTACTGAATGCGTACTCAAGAAGGTAACCTGTGTATCACTGGGAAGCTTCCTAGCATGTTAAGACACCATCTACCATAGACCTACCTCACTGTCTTTCAGCTCCAGAACAGAAGGACTTCGGTATTTCAAAGGTCTTGCTTGGAAATTCACTGTGAACTCCAATATGGAAAAGCCCAGTAGAATATAATAGAAAATAAGAACGTTTCCAACAGATTTCTTTTTAAACTGTCCTATATAATTACACCTTCTGCTCTGGAATTCCATAGCACAGCTGTGAAAGAGAGCTTTGATTCTCAGTTAAGTTTTCTAGGATATTTAGGATAATATCTCTTTGCTGAATCCTCCAAGCATATACCTGCTTTTTCTATGTTTCAAAAAGCTTTTCTGGTCTTCACTGATCCTTGACATGTGAGTTCCTTATCTGCTGAAGTGCCATTGATCAAGCTTTACAAAACTAGACTAAAGACAGTGTGTTGTAGCTGACTGTAAGCAGCTTCACATAAAGTTGAAGTGCCATTGCCAGGATGAAAGCTGAGTTGGAGCTGGAATTGCTCCAGGAGCTGTGCATTCTCCTCTTCTGAGGTATATGAACAGTTTGCACTGTCCTGCTGATTTTCCCCTGTGGCTTGGAGAGAGGCTTTTTGACACAGGAGTTAAAAGACTATGGGGTTTTGACTATTCTCTTCTGAGGTCAGTTTGTTCCTTCCTCCCTATTGCAGCCATGTCTGTGCACAACTGTGTAGACTTTACAGAGGTCTGAGGAGCCTCTCCTCTGGCATCACAGAGAGTACAGGAACCTTTTTTAACTACTCTGTTATTTATTCTTGGCCCTGGTGGCCTAAATGATGCTAAAGAGGTGTGATTTGAGCCATGCTTCAAATCAACATAGTATTGGAGGAGTTCAAAACTTGCTTAACATATGCCATAATGGGCATAAAGGATACTTGGCCGAGTCACAAATAATGCTTTCTTAGTATGTTCTTTCAACTCTGCCGACCTTTCACTTGGCATGGAAAACACGGTGCTCCTGAGGATTTAGGTAATACACAGCAGATTGGAAAACCTGCTTTGCCTTAAGCTTCATGAGGTAAAGATAACGGAAGGCATTCAAGTCAGTCACAGTTTTTGCTTTTTGTTAGATGTGGAAGTTAGAACTAAACCATTCATGGGAATGGGAATGAAAATCTGGTCTTTTGGGTTAAACAATTAACAAAACATAGGCAGGATACATACCTGGCACAGCACTAGCCATATCTCTCCCAGTAATTTCAGGTTCAGTCACCTGTTTCCAACCTGGCTCATCTCTGCTGAAGATCCTTGTATGACACCTAATTTGGGGATTTTTATTCTGCAGCTAATTGAAGGGGCCTCCTCAGAACAAAAAAGCAGTCTTGGCATTACCAATATGGACTACTATTACTATCTGAGTCTCTCTGGGTCCTACAAAGTCGATGACATCGATGACAAATCAGATTTCCAAGAAACACTGGTGAGTTTTTTACTCTATGATTTGTATAGTGGTGGATGTAAGTTCATTTCACTGTCCATTTGTAGCAAAGACACTGATGTATTAATGTGGAAATGATAAATTAATGAGAAATTAATTTTATTGATTAATATTTCAATTATATTTTACCTTGAGGGGGAGATATGTTACCCTGAAGAGGTCCTATGTTGCAGCCTAACAATCCTGAGAAGGTAGATACTTTTTATAGAAAGGTGTTTTGTTTTCTGTTTGTTCTTTTTCAGAAGGGTGCAAATTTAATGAAATTTAATTGAGTGCAGATAATCTGTAGTATGAAAAGTGTGAAAATGCAAACACAGCGAGGAATTTCCATTAGAAGAAAATATAGGGGAGTGCCCTGTTTTAGCCAAATTCCTAGTGGTGACTGATCTTCCATGCCTAGTTAAAACTGTGCAGATGAAAGGCTGGAGGAAGGGACTTAGAAAGCATAGATTCAGTGCTGTTGCCAATTCATCGTGTGACCTTGATGCAAGTCATATCAACTTGCTGGTCTCCTGTTATTAGAAATGTACTATTTGAAATAAGTGTATAAACACATCTTATTTATATATGTAGCATATATAAATGCCTAAAAAAAAAAAATTGTTACTGTTGTATCCTAGCCAATTTTGTATTTTAGAGAAAGTCAGTTGAGAAGACATTATATAAGTTACCATGTACTGTAGACTCCAAATTATTTGGATTATTTGGATTATTTTCTAGTAAGTGGCTGAAATTCACAGCCTAAGCCAGACAGACTGTGCTGCTTTTTAGAGTCGTTCAGTACAGCTTCACAGTTCTTAGTCTCAGTGGATAAAGTGTCTGTCAGAAGGAACAAAAACATTGTCTGTTAAGTTCATTGTTTCCCATTGTGCAAGGAAACTATTTATTTTTAGTGTGACACTTAAGAGCAGGTGCTTGTTTTTAGAAACTTTAATTTTTCCAGAATTTGTTTTGCTAGCACATCTTCTAAATGGTGTAGATGCTTCTGTATTTAATTAAAAAAATAGAAAAATGCTGAAGTAGGGCATCTGGTACCTTCAAACTTCAGTGCAGGCTGTAATGAAATTTGGTTGCCTTAAGTACTTGAATAGTTTTGAAAAACTCAGATTTTTAACATCAGAACTTTAAAAGGACTTCTATGACAAGAGTAATTGAACAGATTCTTTGACTGATTTAATTTTTTTTTTTCTTTTTCTTCCCAGCATGCAATGAATGTGATTGGGATCTTTGCAGAGGAACAGGCATTGGTGCTGCAGATAGTGGCAGGAATACTGCATTTGGGAAACATCAGCTTCAAAGAAGTTGGCAACTATGCAGGAGTGGAGAGCGAGGAGTGTAAGTACCTCTGGAAACTGTTATAACATTAGCAATGGCCTGAAACCCAGATAGCATAAGGTGAACAGCAATACTAGTGGTACTGAGGCCTCTGTTTTGTCTTATACAATGCCACTGACTTAATGGGAGTGCAATTTTGCATTTTGAATTTAAGAAATCTTTTTCCAGCCTTTGAGTGTGAAATAATAGAAATTCTAAGAAAAGCTTTCAAGCAAACTTGAACTCTGCTCCTTTCAATGCAGCAGCACGCATTCATAAAAACACTTGTTTCTAACGTGGTTTGTCTGACCTTGTTGCTGTGTGAAAGCAGCTACCATCTCACAGAGTAGCCCCAGTCTCAGATATGCAGTCAGCACTCAGGTATGTGTGTGTATATATATATGTGTGTACATGCATCCAGAAGTGCCTTAAAAATTAAATTCAGAACCTAATTGAAATGCAGAATTTACATACTACAGGTATGTTCACTGTCTCAAATTTCTTAACCCATACCTCATTATTAGGTAATCTACCATGTAACTTATTTCCTTATTATCTCCTTATCCACAGTGCACTGTCCTTGCACCCTTCACCTCTTGCTGCTGTTTTCTATCAGCTGGGCCCACATCAGCAAGATGTTGAAAGATTAATAGATCTTGAGTTTTAAACGATCTTTGTCAGGATCTATACCTTCCATCTAACGTTGATTGTACGCTACCTTGATAGTTTAAGGACAGAGTGGATAACTGCAACATACATAGTAGCTTATACATATCTATTTGTTCTCTTAACTTACTCCAGAACGGTCCTTAGTTTAGGAAAACTGCATTTGTTTAGTTTTAGGTAAGTTAAATATCAATAAAGTGTCTTGTGCAGTCAACTTCCCACTCAACTGCTATTTGTTTTAAGAAATTGTGAAATTAGAAATTAAGGTTAAAAATTAGTAATTTTTAATTTGAGAGACTAGTAAGTGAACCCAAATAAAAACATTTTGTGGCATTTTATACATCCGAAGGAAAGTATAGGATATTTTATATGCCTTATGATTCCAAATGAACTACTGTGCTCCCGTTTAAATCATAGTATTAAATCTTGCAATGAAATCAAGACACTCAATAGCCAAATGAGATAGATACAGTGTGTTGCATCAAAGACTAACAAAGTGAAAAGGCATGAGTTGAAAATAAAGTTGGTAAATGGTATTTCTGTGATGAGCCAATTATGCCATATTTCTCTTGCTCGCTGGGATGTAAATACAAAAGTTGTGTATGAATAATACACTGAAAAAATTAGCAGATAGAATGAATATAGAACTTATTCATAAACATACTGCATTTTAAAGAAGCGAGAGAAGAAAAAGCAATGTCTAGTACAATTTTGGCATTATGCAGTTGCAAGTTGGGTTCATTTCTCTTTCCGTTAACGCTCCCCCCAGTTTACTGTTTGTCCTAGCCAACTAAATAGTAAGGCATTTATAGCCTGGATAGCCACGAAAGAGAAAACACAGTGAAAGGCTACTGATAAGTCATGCTTTGCATAAGTCTGAAATAATAAAAAGATTTCGGTGAATAGTGTTCTTGTTGTTATATAGCCAATTGCAGAAAAGCATGCAAAGGCCATTCTTCAAGACACCAAAAACTCCAGTCTCTTACTCTGAGTCAGAATCAAATCTATACAGACCATTCTTGACAGACATTTAGACAAATACTTCTTTAAAACTCCCAGTGGTTACTACTAGATGGTCTGTTACAGTGCTTGATTATATTAGTAGTTGAGAAAAATATTCTCATTATTTATTCTAAATCTTCCATGTTGCTAATCATGCCAAATATTACTTTTTCTCTGCTGGACACATAAAACAATTTAAACCATCCCTCTTTACACTTGTATTGAGAGATTTGTTTTTCACTTTCTGAAAACAGATGAAGTGAATCTAGTCTTTTCCAGCTTTTCTTCACAGATGGTATGTAGAACTGTTCCACAGAATGCTGTTGATTACTTTTTGAGGATCGTTTTTTCAATTACATACACATCCTGCTTTATAGTAATTTCTAGATGGTAATTCTATGGTCCCTATCTAGGGAAAATAATCAGGCATCTTAAGAACATGAAGTTATATCAAGTCATGTCCAGCTGTTCTTCCTTTACAGTAAATTACTAGCACTGTGAAGGAAGAATTTCTGAGGTATGCGTGGTGGTTCTTACCATTGTACTATCTTTATAAATTCTTACATTAGTATTGGCTAAATACTTAGTCTGGCATCTCACATCAAATATGTGAGCATATTTGGTCTATAATTGCCTGCATTCTTTTCCATTTTAAAGCATATGATGTTTGACCTTTTCATGTGCTCTTCAACCCGAGTACTCAGTGAGTTACCAGAGATGATGCCAGTGACTCAGCTTTGGTTAGTTGTGTGGTTCCTAGTACCCTAGGGTAAATTTAATCAGCTTGCTGATGGTAATAAATCAGAATGCAGAAAGCTGGTGGCCAATTACAGTTTAAAAAATATTTTTAGATTAACGTACTGAAGGGTTTAGCAAAATCATGCTGTGATGTTACAGATGTGTAAAGCACAAGAGGCTGCTGCCTTAGTGATCATTTTGCATCCTCCTCACACCAATAAAGTGGATCTGAAAGCAATGAAACATGGAGGAAACACTGTTAGAGGATTATGTGGTTTAGCAGAGGTGCAATACCAACTCCAAGAGCTGCCCTTGGGAGCTATTTCTGTATGTGTTCAAGCCATTTCTTTTTTTTCCATTTTTCCATTCCTTAAGGTGTGTGACACCTGCAGCTAACATCTGCACCATGTGCTAAGAATGCACTACTAGACTTGTGGCTGCTTATTGCACAGATGTATTTTTCTGCTTTACTTATAAACAAGAGAAACCAGAATTTGCAAAGTACTTACAGGATAAGGAATTAAAAAACCCAAACCAAATAAACGGCAAGGCAATTGAAAACTTTTTGCAATATCCTAACTTACAAGGGAAAAAATATTAGGAAGCAGATAGCATACTCTTTATCGTATTTTGAAGATTTCTTGGTTTTACAAAGAATTTTCAATGATGTCAATTTTATTTAATGTGTGAGCTCTGTGTTTTATTTCCATCTCCTCCAAGAGTGATGCATTTGAACCACATAGTTCAAAACTATGACCTTAGCAAGCTTGCATGTTTGAAAGACTGAAGGTACAGAAATAGCCAACTCTTTTACTTTGAGGTGGTTTATGTTAATTGAAATCCATGTAAGTGAAGAGTTGAAAATGTCCTTGGGGAGCTTAGGGAAATTTTAAAGACATAAATCCCTCCTCTTTCTTTATAAGCTGCATGACTGATTACACCATTGTTTATTAGAGATACAGTTAATTTTTTTTCCTTCATTCTGTACTGGTTTAGTCTGTAAGCCATAATCCAGCAACCCTGATCTTTCTTGCAGTTTTGGCTTTCCCTGCTTTTCTCCTGGGAATTAACCAGGACCGCCTAAAGGAAAAACTGACCAGCAGACAGATGGACAGCAAGTGGGGAGGCAAATCTGAGTCCATTAATGTAACACTAAATGTGGAACAAGCCTGCTACACCAGGGATGCACTGGCCAAGGCCCTTCATTCCCGTGTTTTTGATTACTTGGTGGATGTAAGTTGGATTTGCTTGATTCTACTGAAGTATCAAAACAAGTACAAGTATGCTAGGAATGTTCCTTGCATTGCTTTTCTTGTCTGTCATTTCTTTCACCCAGTACATTACTTTGCCTAGACCTTAGCAGCAGCAGTTCAGAATGAGATCCTGGGCTGGATCAGTGGGGTAGAAACCTTACCTTTGGCCATAGATGCTGGCTAGATGAAGCAGAAGCCTTTTCCGTGGTGGCACTGCTAGTGTCTCAGAAGTCTCCCTCATCATGACAGCTCTGTAATTCCCACTGCGTGCCTATATCAGCACTGACACTGCAAAGTAGGGGGATACAGAAGCAGGTGAAAAGGTTCACAGTACCATCTGAAAAATGCATCAAGTATCAGACTTAAAGCTGTTCTTTTTTTGTTGGCTCCTTTTCTTTAACTGAACCAGTTACACCAAAGGGGAAAGATTTTTACAAACAGTAGATCCAAAGGCTCACTAACCTGGAAAACAGGATAGTATACTGTTCATTTCCTAGCTGTTAATAACACTTTATTAAAAAGTGAAAGTAAAATACCCTATGACATATATTTGTATTTCATTCAAATATGTTCTTTTTGAAGAAACCCAATAGTCTTACAGGATTTAAGGAAACAAATATATCTTTTAAATATATAAACTACACTTTCTTTTACATTTTGTTTCTGTTTTATTAGTCTATTAATAAGGCTATGGAGAAGGACCACGAAGAATACAACATTGGTGTCCTTGATATTTATGGCTTTGAAATATTCCAGGTAAGGCAATGCAATACTCATGGTTTGAGCTGATCTGACCTGGGAGAATTTTTTGTTATTTAGAGGGCAAAAAAATCTAAACCAGAAAAAAAAAAACCAAATCCTGTGGCCAGAATAAAAGTGAAAAAAAAAACCAAAACCAAACCAACCCAGCTTCCTGGACGTTGAGTTCTCACTGTTAACGTCTCACTTAATAAACATGAAGTATTGAAGAAACTTCAAAGAAACTAGGTCATTGATCTTAAAAGAAAGATCTGAGATTACACAGATTTAAAGTCAGCAACCCATCCATCATTGCCAGTGTTTCTTTGAAGCTTATTGCCAGCATAACTGAGAATTATTGTGTATATAAAAGCATGAGACTAATTTTTAAATTGTTTCCTTTTCTATAGAAAAATGGTTTTGAACAGTTCTGCATCAACTTCGTTAATGAAAAATTACAGCAGATTTTTATTGAACTGACACTGAAGGCAGAACAGGTAACCAGACATCTATTATTTTTGAATTCATAAATGAGCTATTGCTTTTTCAGTTGGTGGAAAAACTGAAGTTTCATCATCTGCTAACAGTAAAATTTGCCTTGTTAAGCAAGACAAAGGAAAAAAAAAAACAACTTGTTTTTGGCTAACCCTAAAACTAAACCACATCAGCTACAGACATTTATTCTGTAATACAGTGGCACAGAAGTGAATCGTCATACGGTGTACTAATGCAGTCATATGACTCTGCCCAGACTTGCTGCCCATTCTGACTCATTGAGAGAAATGGAAAACTGCAGCTTGGTTCCACCCCTGTGCTTTTGTTGGACATGACACACAGTTAAATGGGAACACTTTTCTTAGTTTCCTCCACGCCCTTTTTTTTTTTTAAATATATATATGAATGAAATAGATTACTGAGACAAATAGAAAAAATAATTCTGAAAGTATTTGCAGTTCTCTGCTCACAGTCTTACTGCAAAATGTCCCTTTACATGACTGAGCTTCTGCATGGGAGGGCAGGCAGAATGCAGCTGAGACAGGAGCATTGTGTACTGTACGAGCTCAGGCCTGGCACCAACTTCAGGACAATGTTTTCAAGAATGCACATACACAATTGCCTTTGTATAAAAGTAACTGATCATTGCAGTTGAGCACACAAATGGCCCGCTAAGTGTCTAGCTGAACTCATATATATGCAACTGAGTGGATCAGTTTAATTAACTTTTAGCACGTATTTTTTCCCCAGTCAGTCTTTAGATATCTTTGTGGTTACAGTAATTGTGTACATAAATAAAAAGTAGATCTGTGTCTCCATTTCAAGTGCATTTCTAAAAGTGTTGTTTTGGGGGTCTGATCCTTGATATGCCTGTCACAGTCTTAATTTTTGAAATAGATTAAGATATGGATGCTTGGGTGCACTGTCAAGATACTGTAAAAGTCACTTTGTTACTATTTGCAAAGTGCTTTGACAATAAATGCACTGATTAAATATTCCTGCTCTTCTCAGTAACTACTCAAGGGCTATGAATGACAAAAGAATATGTGGGGAAAACAGAGAAGGATTCCTAGTCATCTCTTAGGCAGCGGAGAGCTGGGTTTAACTATCATTAGGGTCTTTCCTCCCACCTCCCCCCCAGTCTTACATTTGACAAGTCTTTCTGAGCATGAGTAGTGCAGAGTTTGTCTATATGTAGTGCATTGGAAATCGAGTGCTACACCCACAGTGCAAAGGCATATTTGCATCTTTCTTTTTACTTACCAGGAAGAATACGTGCAAGAAGGAATTAGATGGACACCAATAGATTACTTTAACAACAAAATAGTGTGTGACCTTATAGAGAACAAAGTGGTAAGTGTTTAGAACAAACAGATGGAAAAAACAACAAGATTTTTCTCTAAAATATTTGGGCAACTGCTTTGCTGTCAAGAACGTTCATAGGAGAAATGCAAATACTGTTGTTCAGTTACTGAGTCATACTAAGCCTATATATAGATCTTACATAAGATGTCTTATAAGAGCTTTAAGATACATGTCATCTAAGATATCAACCAAAAAGAGAACCATAAGATAGCATGATTGATGTATGACTAAAAAAAAATATAATGATGGAAATTAAAATTTTATCCACCTAAATTTATCATGAACTTTATGACGTATTTACTGTACATCAGATAAGGCTCTCTGCATCCCTGGGAGATGTATTTCAGTCTGGGGAAGCTACAAAACCAGCTTCCTTTGAGGTGATGTCACAAATTAAGCAGGAACAAGTGAAGAGGAAGTATTAGGAAGTGTTGTAGACAAAAGAAATTTTATGTCTTTGCTCCACAGAATGTTCTGCAGTTTAAAGTCTTAATGTTCTGATTTGGGATGATGACAAATGTTGAGTTGTCCTTTAGGACAGAAGTAGGTTGTTTTTCAGCTAGGTCTTTGTCCTCATGTAAGCCAGACCATTTTAACAATAGTTCAAGTACTATAATAACTTGTGCTTAAATGCACGTCAGATTTTGCCCATCTCCTATCTGTATCAGGATAACTAGGAAGAGGATAGGATTTCTGCCACAATCTTAGATATTCAGCTCTAAGTTTGTCAAACTACAACATGTGTGTTTAAATATTGCCCTCAGATATGGGTTTATCATTTGGAGGAATGAGAAAGATTGCTTTGTGAAGGAATTAAAAACTGAAACAAATGTTGGGTACTTGGGGGGTTTTGTTTTATTTTTTAATGGCAATCATTTTCTCCTTCTAGTTTCCGACTGTCTCACTATCATTACACAAAGTGGCATCTCTCCTTAAATTATTTGCATACTTATGTACAAATTAATCTCTATTGTGAACTCTCCTGATTGGGGGGAATTTTTCCTGCTGTGAGTTTGCTCTACTGTTTTTGTAGCCAAGATCATTTTCTGTTTGGGGGTAAAAAACTGGCATCATAACTTTTTTTTCCCCTCACTTCTTTTGCTGTTTTTGTTATTCTTCTCCAATGCATTAGAATCCCCCAGGGATTATGAGTATTTTAGATGATGTGTGTGCCACAATGCATGCAGTGGGAGAAGGAGCTGACCAAACACTGCTTCAAAAACTCCAGATGCAGATTGGGACTCATGAACATTTCAACAGCTGGAACCAGGGATTTATCATTCATCATTATGCTGGAAAGGTAATGTGGAAAGTCATAACTGAATTCTGCATAATGTATTTATAAAGAACAGCAGTAATGAAAGGAAGGGGGAAGCCCTGTAGAGGGCTGTTTTGATTTTAAATAGCCAGATTATCTCAGGAGAAAGTGTCCTCCTTTCACAATGTAGGGAGCTTAGAACAAATATACCCTAACATATGTCCCTTACTTTAGGAGAGGTGAGACTGGGCTTTGCTGCTATCAAACATACTAACCAGAACTTAATATTAAGTGTAATAAATAAATTCCCCTAGTCTTATGAATTATAATATTAATTGTTGGTTATAGTAGCAGTAAATTTAAGGAATTCAGATATAAAAATGATCTCTAGGTGACGACATATCAATAAAACTGGAAACATAATGTGCAGTTCTGTCTTCTTTCGGTTTATTTCTTAGACTGTTGATGATTTCCTGCAGTTATAGTTAATAACAGTAAACCCTTATTAAGCAAAAATTTTTCTTCAATGAAATTCAGTGTTAAATTAACTTGTATCATATTCCATTCACTAGCTCCCTAACAGTCTTTTTCCCTGAATTTAAATACATGGATGAAAATCCTTTATGTTTGTTGTGAAAGAGTTAACTAATAATATATGCAAAGATTTAGTGATCATTGCAGTATCTTTAAGTTATACCAGACTAACCAAAAAGTACAGAACAGCTACTGATAAGGACAGGATTTAAATTTTCTTTAATTATTGGGTTCTCAACTTACCACAAACAATCAATTTCCACCTTGGCCCAGGTATCTTATGATATGGATGGATTCTGCGAGAGAAATCGGGATGTTCTTTTCATGGACTTGATTGAACTCATGCAGAGCAGTGATTTGTACGTAAGCAAAACTTGCTTAAAGCTAGGAATAACGTGTTAGTTCAGATGGATGCAAAGGGCCTGACTTCTCTACTTCGCAACTTGTGAACTCATTTGTATAGAAGTGGAAATAAGACATCACTGCAGTAGAACAGTATCACCTGCATTGTATTGATCTTCATTTTCTGCAAATCTGAATAAGTAAGGTACTGCAGTGTCAGAATCAAATGGTATAAAGACAGCCATTTGTTTTGGCCTCAAACAAGGCCATCAGTGATTTGCCATTCTTTCAGAACAGGCGTGGTTTTAATGTATAAAATAACATTTTTTTTTTTGTTGTGTATTTTAATGAATTGATGCTTACTTCTTAAGATGTGCACGTTTCTTCTTCGAGTCTAGAAGTCTGGTATCATGTCTTCCAAGGCTCACTAAAATAGCAAGGGATCTCTAAGAGGAATGAAGCTCGTGGAAAATACTAATCTTAAAATAGATTTGATATACTCCAGATTAATAGAAATAGCTATTTATATTCTGCTCAATTGTCAACTATTGCAGCATATTCCTTGACATTTCTGCACTGAATTATCTTTTTATGCCAACACTATTTTATTAATTCTTTCCTAGGCCTTTTATCAAGGCTCTGTTTCCTGAAAATCTTCAAGTGGACAAGAAGGGCCGTCCTACCACTGCAGGCAGTAAAATCAAAGTACGTCTAGCTTTGCTTTGTTAGTATGTGCATATATGGTTGTGTGTTTGTGTGTGTGCTGTTTTTTACTGTCCAGACATGTTTTTTGAAGATAGACATCAGGAGTATCTTGATTGCAAAGTGATGCATTGTTTCAGCTGCTAGAACAATGTTTTGCCCAGCATCACTGTTCATTAAATGTTTTGTTCAGCTGCATTCTACAGCAGTGAATTTTCCAAATGAGCAGTTGATGGTAGTGATAATTGTACTTGCATGTGCATAATGAATGAACCCCTTCACTCAGCCACTTGATGTCCTACAATTAACTACAGAGAACTGGTCTCTTTATAGTGCAGAAATGCAGCAGGGCCTGATCCAACACCCACTGAAGTTAACAGAAGTCTTTCTACTGACCATAATGTGCCTTGAATAAGGCAGCAAGTGTTAGAAGGCGAGCATCTTCTTGGGGACTGGTTGTAAAATATATGCTTAGATTACACAGTTGCAGACTTCGGAAATTGGTATTTTATCAATGTCTTTCCTCATACCTCACCTTGACAGTGAAGTTCACGTGATGCATTCCTTGTAACTCCATATTTTTATATAGTAGTTTAAGTATATTACAGAGCTGGAGATAATTTATCTATTAACTGATAAATTTTTCATGAGGTGTATAGTATCCCAAGACACTTGGGTTGTTCTGGAGAAAGACTAAAGTCAACTGAATCATCATCAGATGATTAATAATTTTTAGAATTCTCTCACAGGATTCACCCTGTTCAGCTCAGATCCTCTTGTTTCCCCTCAATTTTACAGAAACAAGCAAATGACCTTGTTGGCACCTTGATGAAGTGTACACCCCATTACATCCGCTGCATCAAACCAAATGAAACAAAGAAGTCCCGAGACTGGGAGGAGAGCAGGTATGGATAAGCAGAGTATGTGATGAGAAACAGTGCTAATAGTCAAAAAAAGCCACAAAATTTTATAATTTGTAATCATGCAGCCTACAGACAAACAGAACTAGATACTCTAAAGCCTTCAGAAATGAAATCTGGCATGACCTCTCCTAAAGTTTGAAGATAAGTTGTGGCCACTTGGTCTAAATCAGGGGTTAGTATGTGCAGTTCTTAGCTTTTCTCACATCAGTTATGAATAATCAACATTTTCACAACAGTAACACAGTTGGTATATTAAAGACTCTGCTTTCCATATGGAATTTGCACACCAAGTGGATTATACATCAATTCTAAGTTTTGCTTTATGCTTTCAAAACAGCTTCTATTAGGTAGCTAAAAAGCCAGCAGGATGTCTGTATCTGCTTTTATGTATCAAACTTAGCAAAAAGTCTCTATAGCCAAGAACGTAAAAGGTTCCTTTTTTACTTCTTGATTTTAAGTTTCATTAGCCAGTTCTTTAAAGAGAAGTCACTAGGATATCATATTGGGTGGTTATATAGACATTAAATAGACATCTAAATCATCAGTTTGGTTCATCACGTCTGTTTTAAGGCATCTTAACTATATGATGCTTTATAGCATCTTCCTATTATCTGAAAAAAGATACTCTTCTTTTTTGCACTGAGGTAGGTGATCAGTACAGCATACATACTATGTGAGGTCCTAATAGAGATAACATTTATTACTATGTACCAGGTACTTCTAGTATTGGTAAAAGTGCTGATAAAGCACATGGTTATTTTTATCACAGTGAAACAACTTGCAAAGTCTGATAAAAAGTGTTCTTGACCATATCAATACCACACCAGAATTTACTTCCTGCCATTTGGCATGCAGACTAGCCCATTACATGCAGATGTAGAGCACTTACAGAAGCCACAATTGGGACTGCATTTCAAAGCGTCCTTTAGGTCTTGGCAGTAAATGTAGATGCTCTTTCTCTAGCTTTTCCACCCTTAAAAATCCTACTATGCAGCACTTACTTAATTTTCCGCTGATACTGGGGACCAAAGGAGGAAAGTAAGTGATCCTGGATAAAGAATGTCTAAAACTTTTAACTAGAAGTTGAGGGCCTTTTAAAATCAATCATTTACATATTGGAAAATGGGCCTATTATCGTGGAAGGTGTTGCTAGGATACTAATGAAACAAACAAACAAAAACCTAGTCCTGAGAACAGGCAAATGTTCAGGAAACCCCTTTTGGAGCAGAAATGGGCAAGATTTCTTCTTCTTTTCCCGTAATGAGAATGATATTTGGCAAATGCACCAGCTGCTGATAGGATACAATCAAACTCAGACACAAATGGAAGTAGTTCTTAGAATGGTAATCCTTCATCCCTGTTTCAAAATCTGAACATTCTTTCCCATTTCAAACTATGATTTCCCATATATTACACTAGGACCTCACATAGGATACATATGCTGTAGCAGTTAGTGACATATCTGGGGAAGATAAATTTACATGTGTATGACAAGTCAAGCTTGAGTTTAATTCTGTTGTTTCATGATTTTACAGTGAGAAAGTTCTGTGTTGAGGGAAATACAAAACATATGTAGGTTTATGTGATTCTTTGCTGAAGGTTGGTTTAGGTTTTTTTTTTCTTCTGTGATCACCTAACACTGTATTTTCATGTGCTGCCATAGTCAATGTGATGGGAGTAGTATATCTAATCTGCTTATTAGCAGCATGTTACTAGATGGTGAAAATGTTACTGAAAAAGGAAAAACCACTTCACAAAGCCTGTCTTACTTCATGCTCACAGAAGCCATGCCACTCCAGCATTCTACTGCTATTGAATAATTCCAGAATATTTAGCACTGAAACATAGACCTTGGGTAATATCTGAGCCTTGTATAATACCTTTGTTATTCCAAAAATTGGGGTGTTCTTGAAATGTGTTTTTGTTCAGGTCCTGGCACAGCCACTTGGACTTGTATTCAAAATTGCTGCATTAGCTGAATTCCCAGACCCTGACCTGCTTGAGGTTGATGCCTGGAGGGAGATTTTCAGTGTGCCTTTTCTCAGAAAGAAAAGGAAAAACAGAAAAATGTCTCAAATTCTCTGTTGCTGGACACTAATACTGGCAGGACAGTAAGAAAATGGGAGTAATACTGTTGCTCCAGTGCATTATTCCAGATGTGAACAGGAGGGAAAGCTATAAACAGGAAAGTGTATTTTTGTCCACCAACTTTCTACTGTACCAGAATTCTTGGAGCAGGTACAAAATATACTTTACTCCTTGAACACAGCAAGATTAAAATGTGCAGTATTCTTTATTATAAGCTAAAAGAGCAGTATCACTCATCCTTTAATAAAGTATCTCTCACAACTGTTCTTTAAAAAGAAGAAATAACTGAAGGGCTTTTGTCATTTGTAGCATGGGATTTGAAAAGTTCTTTTCCTTTATGCTATGAGTCATGTGAAAAGAATGTCTCAACCAAAAAAAAGGAAAAAATCAATGGGCGATGCACTTCATATTGAAATTTCACATTTCAAAATCGCTAGAGAAATGACATTGAATTAACTGAGAGTTTTTCAGGATTTGAAAAATCTTTTGTAAAATCAGAGAATTAGTAAGCAAAACAATACTAAATGGCTCCTCACAGGCTTGCTTTTTTGATTATATGTAAAGAAATGCTCTTTTATATATTTTTGTTAAACTTGCAGGTCTAAAATCTTAACTGTCATATTTCTGACTGAAAGCTAAGGCTTCTATAATTTGCCCTATAAAAGAACAGCAACAGAAGCCCCCAAACACAACATTTCAGAGTTAAAAACTGACATCGCCTCTTCCAACAACATGACTTACATGAAGAAATTAAAGAAATGCAAAGGAAAACAGCAAGACTCATACATTATTGTTAAGGAAGCTAACTGAAATTCTTCAAATCAAATCTCCAAGCATTAAACAGTACGCTAGCAGGTTATGTAAGAAGGAACATAAAATAATGTCCCACAGCTCCAGAAAGGGGAAAAGGTGCCAAAAGGAGGCTTTTTTTTTCTTTTGCTGTTTTTCTGCTTTGAGATTCATGGGAGCATATTTGTTCCCTGTTTAGAACCTAAATGAACGTGTTTTGCATGAGGGAATGGTAATGGTGTTGGAATAATGATGTTTCAGTTCACATATGCAGCAGAGTCCCTCCACAGCCCTTAACGCTTTCTGAGGGTACTAGCTCAGTTTTTGTTTGTAATTAAAGTATGCCATGAACAAGTTTACCAGGCATGCTTTGGCCAGTCTTGTACCTATTCTCAAATCCTTTTTTTATAATTAGGAGGAATGCCAGCTTTTCATTAATATAGTGGCCTGACTTTTTTTTTTTCTTGATTCTTTGTGTAATCAAAGTGTGTCATCTGGGGCTTTCTCCAGCCACTAGATTTGGTCCCTCCTCCAGAACAACTGAAAAAGAGCTACTGTGTGCTACTGTTGATATTTGAACTATGTAAAACGTAGGTGAAACCTACAATAAAAGAACACAGAACAATTTCCCGCTCCCTTGGATGCCAGCTATGTAGTTGTATAGGTAATAGTTACTTGGCCTTTCATGGGTAATAATATTAGTTAAGAAATTTATACATAAATTAGCTAGGAGATGGGAAGTTAAACTTGGAAAAAATAAACTTGCTACATACATTTCAGTAATGTAGTCTACCTGCCTTGAGTGTTTTTCCTACCATGCAGTGTGCATGGTAGTGTGCAAGAATATCATTCATATACCTGGGCATGAATTGTAGAAGTTAGTCTTTAAACATCATATGGACTTTTAAGAATACCTCAATCCACAAATATGCTGATTGTAAATCTTGCATTGTTTTTGTTCACAGGGTAAAACATCAAGTGGAATACTTAGGTCTGAAAGAAAATATTCGAGTAAGAAGAGCTGGCTATGCCTACAGGCGGGTTTTCAAGAAGTTTTTGCAGAGGTAAGGTACTACTAATTTTGAAGTATTACAGCACAGTTGTTTACATGATGAGGAGGAAAACAAGAAGTTGTAAGTTTTGAAAACTTCCCATTTCCCACTTACACTTTCCTTTTTCCCCATTTACCTTGGTCATGATCTAGGTTACACAGAGATTTGAAAGTGTCTTGAAGACTGGCTTTGTGTCTCTGAAAGTTGTGTAAGACCTCATTTCTTTTGGTAGTGCTATGAGAGGGTTCCTCAAAGTTAAAAACTGTTGAGGGAACTCAGAGTTACGAGCTGCAGAGCCTGGAGTATGGGTGTCTGGCTGCTAGCCTTTGTTTAAAGTGTTTCTGCTGTAGCTCTCCCAACTCTTCCTTTCCCAATGACAAAAGATAGGTAAAGAAGTACATGCCTGCCATTCAAGTGTAAAGAATAACCTTAGCTTAAATTGCTCATTACATCCTTTGACTGGTGTTCAAACAGCTGGGAATGGTTAAAACTCAAACCACTGCAGCTGCTCACTGAATGAAAGCAAGTCAGAGCTCTGTAAGACCAATCCTTTTTTCAGTGTCTTAGGACCAGCTGTTAAGATTATTAATTACCTCCACTAGCTAATGAAATCCTCTTAAATAAGAGCAATTTCAAGATTTATGCAACATTCAGCTTCTAGGTTTTTTTTAGAAAATTGAGACGTACAGCTAATAACTGCCCAAGCTGGGGCATTACATGACAAATCAGCTTTTGTTGGAAGTCTGTGTTACGTTTGAGAATATAAAACAAAAAATCCAATCAGTTGTTGCAAGGAACAGAGTATAATTAATCAGACAGCATCAGAACAAAGCCACTGATAATACTTCATGATAATAAGGAGAATGTTCTAATCATCTAGTAATAGGCAGCCCTAAAACATCTGAAAGTATGGACTCAGTTTTCATTATAGAACAATTTAAAATCCCCTTTTCTTCGCAATCTTCAAGCCCAGACATGTAAACATGAATATGCTTCAGGTTGCATTACTTAACACAGACTGTCACAAAGACAGAAAAACAAATTAATAATGTGTATTAGATCTAGCATCCACGGTTGTTGAACAGTGATTGTGAGGGCTGTGCAGGTCTAGAAATCTGCCTGACACATCTGCACAAAGGAAAGCCGCATGGTACTTCTGGAAGGTGAACAGATTTTTATGCTTCACTTTATATCAGGAGACCCACAGGCATCTGAAACCATTCTCTACAGAATTCATCCACTTGTTTCAAATTAGTCTTGTTAAATTTAATATTTTGCTATGAGAGTAAAACTCTTCCTGCAACCTTTCCGTTCACAGTTCCCTAGCATCCAGAACAAGCTCTGTTCTGACACCCTGAGTCAGTGTGAGTAAAAGTGGGCTGAGGCATGGGATGGACAGGAAATGCATGCTTGTACACTTGTTTTCATTGGGCGTTCCTTGGCAGCTCCATATAAATGGAGATTTCTGGGCTGAATAGACTTTTCTGTACAAAATTTACATTTGCATGCAAAAAGCCACAGTCACTGAAAAGGCCTATGTGTTTGAAAGCATAACCGATCTGAGAGCTGAACTCCATACTCCCATATTTAAACATAGGACCGAACTGCTTACTGTGTATTTATAGTAGATAATTTTCTGGGGGCAGTCATGATGTGGAATTGTTTCAGAAGCATTTTAAGAACACGCTTAGTATTTGTGCCGAAATCCTGTGGAAGATCAAATTGCACAAGCTTGAAAAACCTAGATGCATGGATCCGTGACCAGTTTAATGGGAAGCATGCACAAGTGCATTAGAGGAAAGTGCTATTTCTAAACAGCAGTGAACAATGATAGAATTGTCACGTTATAAAACTGTGAAATGCTTAATTGATGCATGTTACAGAATAATCTGTTTCTTCTGCCCTGTAGACTTGTCACACCAGTAAAATGTGTGAAGTTAATTAGAGTTTACAAAAACAGAGAATTTCAAATGTGTTCTTATTTTATACCCAAGATCTTTACTTATATTAAAAGGTCTTAAGTCGTGTTTTTCCCTCTGTCCTCCTTTACAGCTCAGAAGCTGGAGGAAAGAATTTGTAACATGCTGCAATGTAGTGTCAAATTCTGTTGTGTGGAAGGTAGCAGTTTCAAATGCCTTTATTAACATCAGCTCCTTTAAATTCAGATTTGCTTAAACCCACCTTTACCACTATACTGTTGGCAGTACGTGATGAACCTGCAAAAGGGGCTGTTAATTAAATACACTTTAACTCATAACTCCTTACTAGGTTGCATCTGTTTATCCCATAATACTGATAAATTGCATAAGTGCACATATTGTCTGTTGACATAGATTATGTGTATTTCAGAAGGTATAAGATCTACTTTGTTAGACCATCATGCATAGTACCTGAGCATTTAACTAATAATAGATTGAAACATTATAAGATCAGTAGACCCTTTTGAATCCTACTGCATTATTCACAAGTTAGCTTTCTCTTTTCATATATTTGCTATTCAGAGGTGTTTGCTTTTTGCTATATGTTCCTTTTAAATGGTTTGCTATTTTTCCATATGTGGTATTGTTATTTAAGTTGCATGACACTGTTTCTGCTTCCTGGCCGGATAGCATTTTAGATATGACAAGAATGAGCAATGAACATTCCCTTAATGAATTTTCTAACAATTCCTTATGTGATTGTTTGAGAACATTTTATTAGGAGCTGCCTAAATCTTCTTAAGAAACAAGAACTTGGGAATTACATCAAACTGAACTTCATACTTCATCACTTTTTTCATTATTTGAATAGTTTTACTAATAAGCATGATTTATATAACTCAAATAAGCTTAAGGCATTAAAAAAAGAATAAGACAGAGAAGGCTTGAGTAGGAAACTGGCCACGTGCTTGGGAACGAATCTAGAATACCAAGGGTATAGATACTTAAATCTGGACCGTAAGTCATTGCTAGTAAATAACCTTGCCCTGGAGTTAAGGAGATCACAGCAGAACTTACTGCAATTAACTACTGCAGTTACCAGATAGTTAGTTAGCATCTGGAAATTGGAGACTCCTGGACACTGTTGCCGTTCTCACTGCAGTTGTTTGGTCTTGCTACACAATCAATATCTTAATACTGTGCATCTTCTCCCACTCCAAGATTCTGCAAGTCCTGCCAAAATTGCCAACCCTCCTCCCAGGGTAATACTGACTAAGGGTCAGTGGTATTTTGCTGCTGTTTGAGGGCAGGTTTTAATCTCCTCTCCTTGCTTAAGGTACGCCATTCTGACCAAAGCAACCTGGCCTTCCTGGAAAGGAGAAGAGAAACAAGGAGTTCTCCACCTGCTTCAGTCAGTCAACATGGATCCTGACCAATACCAGCTTGGGAAATCCAAAGTCTTCATCAAAGCTCCAGAGTCTGTAAGTGTGGCATAACATGAATCTTTAAATATGAAACTATTTTGCTGAAATTAAGGGCCTGCCCACTCAGAAGTTGAGCAAGGTATCCGCTAAGGTGGAAGATGCATAAGAATATAAGTCAAACTGGACAGGTCTGTCACAGGTGCCTTGAAGTTGTACAGGGATTCTAGGCTCTTGTATAACAGGCACAGTATGTAAGGACCCTGCATGATTTTGACACTAATACAAGGACCGTTAAATGCATCAAGAAGAGGAAACGAGATATAAAGATGCTTTGGTGTCAGGATGCACATGGTGACATTCCATCAGAGAATCTGTCATATGAAGGCATATAATGGTATGAAAACATATCTGTGACCATTAGCCCAAGAAAATCGGTCCTCTTCCGAGTACAGGAACTACTGATGAAGGTAGAATAGCCCCCAGTTATAGTAAGGATATGTTACTCATCATTCATTAAATCCATGTTCCAGAATGATTGCAACTTGAAATCCCATTCAAAGAGAACATTACGGAGGCATCATAAGGCTGGTTTTATCCTGTGGCTGCTAAACTGCACAAAATCTGTTGGAAAAAAGTTTTCTTGCATTGCTATTCATGAAAGTTGTCAAGGAAAAAAATATGCCCTGGTCACCATCATGTATTCCTCGTTTATCAGAAGCAATTGGGCTTAGTTTGTATAGCATACCTGGCAGTTGAGCTTTAGGTGGTTTCTTGGTGCTTTGCCTGAAGTTACATGTCAAAATAAAAGCAGAACACTTCTATTGCTATCATTTTCTTTTCCAGAAACATATTCTTTGCTCTGCGGAGCAACAGTAATTCAGGCAATGATACTGCTGCACCCAATCACATGGGAAGTCATCTCTGTTAAAGGGAAAAAGATGATACTTTTCCAAGTCATCATAGAAATTGTGTTGTTTCTATTATTCTTAAAAAGGGTAAGATAGTACCACCTCTACTCAGGAATAATGGGACTTTACGTTCCTGCCATCCGAGAGACGTGTTTATATAATAAAGCATATAGTGTTCAAGATGAAGGTTACTAGAATACTTAGGTGCATGTTGGCAGAGCAGGGAATTCTAGTATAGGATTAGTCCTACTTTAGTAATTGCAAGTAACACCGTAGCTAGCCAATTATGGGGAAGTGTAAGCTTCATCTGCCTTCCTCTGTAGCACAGGGCCATGATTTATTTCCTAAGATTACTGGGGAGTTGTGTTTTACATAGTCGCTGCGATAGCCTTGGACATTAGTGGGTGTCTTTGATGTCTTTTATTGTTGACATTACAGTTGTGACTTTTAGTACTTTACTGACCTCAAATTTATTATAGGGTGGTGGTGAGTGTGCATGCTGGTCAAGTATCTATTTGAATTAATACAGACAGCTTAGTTGCTTATAATTACAAGGGACCAGAATTAGTAATTTAAGCAACATCTTCTGCTCCTGTGTTCATTATCCTACAGTGTAGCAAACCTGATTTTCTTGGTTTCACTGTGAAATGATGTTGCATCCATGCCATTTGCTGCAGTTAATACAAACCAAATACAATCTCAGTTTGGGAGATAAAAAGTTAAGGAACAAAATTAAAATAATTTGTGTGATGGCTGTTTTCTTGATGTTATGCTACTTTATGGATAAATCAATCCAAAATTTAAAGTATTTTTGTTTTCAGTTTTGTGTAATAAATCATATAAGGAATGATCTTCCTTTCCTGGCTGCTGAAATACCTTAAGCTTGGTATGTTTGCTTCTTATGTTTGCACAGATTTTCAGCAGCCATATCTTCACAAATGGGGTGGGTCTTATCCTTGGGGTATTTTTTTTTTCAAAGACAAAAATTAAATCATTTGCTGGTGTCCATCTTCTGCTTAGTAGCCAAGCGCTCACATAGGATTGATGGATCTAGTTGCCTTTCACTCTGAAGTGGCCAAAACGTTAATATTCTTTACTCCAGCATCATACGCTGCTAGGTTGTTTCCAAGTGGAAGAAATTGTTTTCCAATGGATGCATCTTCTATTGCATTCTAATGCATTTTTGTAATACTAATTCCTGGTTGCATGTATATGCCATTTAATGGCCTGTCTGTGAGTTCTACTGAAGGGCAGTTCTGCAGATTAAGACAACATGAGGTTGACTTGAAATAGTAAAACTTTTTAGGGTTGCAATTTGATTTTATTTTAAATTGATGCTTTCAATTACTGTATTAAGTTTTCTTTAAAAAAATATTTTTTTAAAAAACCATAAAATATATTTTCAAAACAAGTACTAAAAATAGTCTGGGCCTTTTTCATTTTAAGTTGAAAAATTTTCTATGAGCTGAATATTCTAAAGCTTGATTTATTATCTTTTAGTATCAAAGACAATATATCATATTATTGAAGTATTGGCTAGGATTATATTCCTTTTGAGAAAAATAATCTTTTAGATGGTAAATGAAAATTTTTCTTTCTACTACCAAAGAGAGCACCTGTGGTGGTTAATATGATGAAAAAATACTTTATTTGCTCAGGAGTATGACGAGAGGCTTTATAATATGTATTTTAGGAAAGAATTTATGCAGCATTTTTATTTTATAACTTATGAACCGTTTAACCTTAATGTTTTCATTGAAATTCCTTAATTGTGACCTTCAAGTGCAGGTGATAGACTATTTTGCATTGCAATTAGCATTATTGTTGCAGAACTAAATGGTGAGTGTTCATGAGAGATGACATCAGTATTGTTACCGTAACCTGAATTTCACAAGGGTTTGATCATGCCCCTGCTGAAACTGAGAAAGCTTTTGCAGCAGGAACACTTGTGCCTGTGCGCTGAAACCCTATCTAGTGCTTGTGTGTTTGTGAAGAGATTTTTTTTTTTTTTTTTAAATAAGTTTGCTGTAGATGGAGAGTTGCCAACTGTGAAATAAGGTTTTATGGGTGGCAGAAAGGAGGCTTCATTATTTACATTTCCATCAAACACCTGAATAAATAACTATGTACAAGAGCAAGTGAGGTTCTGCGGAAATGGTTTGCACTAGATCAAGTTTCCTTTTTAAGATTAATATGAACAACAGTGTTTTTCTACATTTGCATGGTTTAGGGCAGAAAATTAAGAAAAGGATCCTAAAGCCCACGTTTGCTTCTTGATATACCTGTTTTTACTGATTTTATCTCTTCTGAAAGCTAGAAGAAAAGTCTTTATGAATACTTAACACATAGTAGAGGGAAATAGTAAGCAACAGTCACGTCAGTGGACTGATTTAGTACTGTAATTGTTAGCCAAGTGCTTGTGCTTCTGATGAGACAAGAAAACACTTAACTAAATGTAAAGTATGTAAAGGGCTGTAGTGAAATATGCTGTATCCTACAATAATTATGAAGTTCTAATGCATTACATTTATATCTATTTTAGTGGGACCTGGGAAATTCTTAAAAGGGGGATGCACCTTCCATTTCTGCTTTGATAACTCAGCATATCCTCTTGAATTCTGACAACATTTTAGACCCTAAAATCTTGCTATGTCATACTGAAATCCAAGATCATAGCTGTAAATCCTGTAGCCAGCTGACAGATTTCACTGCTGGGAAAGAATGGAACCAATGGACATGAGAGCATGAAATTCAAACAGGAAAGAAAGTTGCATGTGAATACAGTGCGTGGTGTTACACATTGCACAGATCCACACGGTAACATTCTGACAAGAGAAGTGTGAATTTTGGAGAATGTGAAGATGGAGGCTGGGTGGGTGCCCAGTGGAGAACCTTGACTTGCACTAGTAGAATATTTCAAGGAGAATCCATATTCCTCTTTCTTCATCACTGGGTATCAAGATTGATGGGTAGACTGGTAAAAGCCAGAACCACTGAAGCATCAGAGATTTCTTCCAGAAAAGGTTACCTTAACATTCTGATCTCAGATCCCATAGTTGTGATAGAGGAACCAGCTTGGCTCTAGAGTGAAATGCACTGGAAAGTTGTTGAAAGTAAAATATGGCTTTTTCTTGAACTTTTCATGTAAAATGTTTGACCCACCCTACTGTCTCTTTGTACAGCTATTTTTATTAGAAGAAATGAGAGAAAGGAAGTATGATGGGTATGCCAGGGCCATCCAGAAGGCATGGAGGAAGTATGTGGCCAGGAAAAAATATGTACAGATGAGAGAAGAAGGTAGGTCATAACTTCTGATGACAGATATTTCACAGATGGTTCCAAGAACAGAAGGAGTGCCACAAGAGGTGAAGGAAACCTCTCCTCTATAGAGCAAAGCATTGCATTGCAGATGACAGTCTAGGAATGACTGCAAATTGTTGGACCCCTAAGATACCACTGATGAGGATGGCTGCTTTTCATTGCATGGATTTCTTGGACTACCCAGTGTTTCACTCTCAAAACAAAGCCAGACTGAGTAGGACAGAGATCAGGGATGTTCCAGGGGACGTAAAAAAGCAAAAGCATCCCACTCTAATGCTTAGTTGCATGCATGACCTGAATTATGTGAATCAACATTCTGAGTTTGGAAGAGTTAATCTTTAATTTCTAGCAATGAGTGAGAAATTCCTTAGTTCTAGAAGTACTCCCAATTAGTCAGAACTCCTGAGCTTGCCGTCAGTGTATTCCATTAGGAATGGATTTAACAATCACATGGATCCTTATACAAAGGATTAGTAGCAGTGCTTCACTGTTTTTTCTGTATTCTAAACAATTTGGTTATCATTTCTTCCCCAAAAGTTCTGCTTGAAATAGCTCTTTCAGATTGTGAGTTTAGAAAATCTAGTAAATACCATTAATCAACATTCTTTTTTGGTATTTAAGCATCAGATCTATTGCTGAACAAGAAAGAGAGAAGACGGAACAGCATTAACAGGAATTTTGTGGGAGATTACATAGGTATGGAGGACCATCCAGAGCTACGCCAGTTTGTGGGCAAACGGGAGAAGATTGATTTTGCAGACACCGTAATGAAGTATGATCGACGGTTTAAGGTAGGTTTAAGAGCAACATCCACTAACGATTAGTTCTGCTAGGGAGTTACAGATGTCTTTAGCCATCTTTTAACAGAAACTCCACCATGTTAGTGTTACACCATCTAGGATACCAGCTTAAAAAAAGCATCTGACGTAAAAGACACATAGGGAAGCAGTTGCACACTTCTGATCAGAACATTACCATTGTCCCAGGATGAAGGCCTTGCTGGGCAGAAAGCTACATTAGTTAGGAAATGGGGAACAAAGCTACTTTCCTGTCCTGTGCAATCTGACTCTGAGGTTGTATGACTAATCACATCAGTATTTTTTTCATTTGAACCAAAGATGAACAGTATTGCCCCAAATCATAGTTCATTATGTCTCTTTGGAACAGCAGCACAGCATTAGTGCTTTGATCTCCATATAGCTGTGTATTTTCAAACAATTTTGTGTTTCAGAGCGTGAAGCGAGATCTTGTCCTCACTCCAAAGTGCATATACCTGATTGGGCGTGAAAAGATAAAGCAGGGTCCAGAGAAAGGCCAAGTGAAGGAAGTCTTAAAGCGAAGGATGGAAGTGGAGAGAATTCTTTCTGTTTCTCTAAGGTCAGTACTTGGAAAATATCTTTCCATTGACAGACGAATTTGTGTAGGATGGCAAAGTAAGTTGATTGATGAAGGGTGAATTTTTTTTAAGCTGTATTAATTTAATCCTGTGAACAAAGCAAGCTGAAGCTTTATTTTCGTTCCCAGCCCTAGAAAGTGTGTTACAACAGTAGAACGTTTATGTTTGTAGCCAACACGCAAACATTTTCTGACTAGTTGTTAAAATGTTTCACTTACTTACACTGGGTCTTACCTACCTGGTGTGTCCCCCAACATGTATTTTGTGAGGTATATATTCATAAGCAGGTTCTTGTAAGTTTTGGCTCAAGCTAATATCTCAGAAATAATTGTTACTTATAGAAGTACACCTTGTACATGTCCACTGCTTCCTAAAGGGGCGTTGTCTCTCTGGTGAGCTACCAAACCCTTCATTTCTAGTTGGATTTCACATGGCTTCTGTTCACTCAATGTCAGGCCAGTCCCAGATTGCAGGAAATATCCAAGGTGTCCACACAGAGCTCAGAAACCCAGTTAGTTAGGTGAGCAAGAAACAGGAATATACTGCCCATGAGACCAGCGGATTCTTGCCTGTATCATTTCATCCCCTTGAAGATGAGTGAACGAAGTCTCTGGATACCTCTGCATTTGTTATTGCAGTTTATCAGAGCTGGTAGATGAGTGTAATTTAATACAGAAGAATACCGATCCAAGGAGACAAGTGTACTTTAAATACTGAAATAAATTACTATTTTAATGGAATACAAGTCTACACTTGAGTACTGTGTATCGATAGCTACTGCAAAGGGTTTTTTAGTATATGCTTATAAAACATTCCCATTAGCATAGACAGAAATCTTCTCACAGACATTATCCTGTACTTAACACCAGCAGATTTCACATTTTTTCAGAATTCTTCACAGCCATTTCAAGATTAGGGAAAGGTCTGCAAGATGTGTCTGCTCACAGTACCATTTTCAAAACCTGTGGCTTATTTATCATTCACCTTTGTAATGAAAGTTGCAACAAAATAACTGTAGTAGATCTAGGTTAAAGATGAGAGTGGAACCTGTCTCTTTAGTGCTCCAAGTTTGGACTGTGTGCTGTGCAAACCTTGAACAGATTGCAGCCAGACGCTTGAATTGGGCCTGTAGCATTCCAAAGGCATAGTCACATTGAGTCAGCTAAAAGGATGGCTGCCTGCCAAGTTAGCGGAAGCTGCTACACTCCTCTCACATGTAAATAGCAGTTCCACAGAACCTTCTGAAGCAAAACCAAATGTGCTTAGTTCGGAGGAAATATATATGTTACATTGTGTCTTATAATGTTTTGAACTTAGCTTATTGATTTTATTTTGTTATAAAAACCACTGGGGTTTGTATATGCTAAAAATAGATTCAGAATTACAAGCTATCAACCTGTCCAGGTATTCCTCCAAAACCAAACCCTAAAAAACCTATGGTGGAAAGAGGGCTTTTCCCTCTTAGCATGTATGTACGTCCCGAATTCAAAATGGGTCTTAATCAAGGGATCGCTTAACTCTGTATTGAAACAGCTTAGTAGTAATAGAGTGCTCTGGCTGCAGAGCCTGTAAAAGGTAATGCTTCTCTTAAATCTGAGATAATCTTGTCTCAGCAACAAGGGTTAGCGCTATGTATTACCTCCTATGTATTTGGGGTGGGGGTGGGGGTGGGGGTGTGTGGAACCAACAAAAAAAACCCAAAACAGTTTTTCATATATCAGGCTCAAAGCAAAAATTGTGTCAGCCATAACTCACATTCTCTCATGTGTTTTCAAAACTCCAGTTTGTTGTCCCTGTATTCTAAATTTTCTACACCTTTAAGATAATTGATTGTTTTTGAACAAAATAATTGCAATAACATTCTCCATGAGCTTATCCAGAATGGATTTAGCTCTATTGTGTATTGCAGCCTCAAAGTTTTACAAGTTTCAATTCTTATTTGTTCTATTTTTCATGCAATATTAATTTTTAACTAAATCAATACAAAATTAAATACATTTTAAATGAAAGGGGGAGAGAGGATTGCATTGCTATCTAAGCAGTATCTCAAGAAACCCATGTGCAATATATTCATGTAAGCTTGTATAGATACTTATACACCATAAAGGTAATCAGCACTACTGACATATTAACAGCAATTAACACTACATAACAATTTAAATTACTAAAGGGGTTACAATTTAAAGTGCAAATACCCAACTTGGAGTTTGTTTAGGGTACTTGGAAAGATAGCCCATACTCTCACGGAAATGTTCTTGCACTTTTAGTAACAATGAATAACTGAGCTTTATGGTTCATCTGATAAGGAGTGACACAGGACATCCTAACAGTATTGTGAAGTCAGACTCTTTGCCAAATCAGCAAAAATAGAACCACTGACTGGATATATTTACTGTAGGTCTTGGGCTTTTCTTACACATCTCGTTCAGAACCTTGCTGAGGCTCTAGATTTTGCTTGATGATAGGAAAGGAGGTCATGCTCTTACTCTGTTTTTAGAGATTTCTTATTGCTATTTTGAATTAGCAATGTTTGTAGGTTCATACATCCTTTTTCAAACTATGGGAAAGATTTCAGAATTTGAAAGATTATGGAATGCATAGGCGGTAGGTAGACTTTTAGAAAAACAGGCAGCAATACAACTCATCCTTTACCTAATGTCTCAAGTGGGCTAGAACTGTATTTGCATACCTGACAGTCAAGAGCACCTGCATCAGCACTATTATGAAGCTATTTTTAATTCTGCATAAAAAGGTACTCGCAGTCTGTGGAGGGAGTCATAGCCTTCAGTAGCCAGATGAAGAGTGAGGGTCAGAAAGCTAGGACTGCTCCCCCCTTTCAGATTTGTAGAGTCAGCAATTGGACAAACCAGCTGGGAGAGAAAAAGGGAGGAGCATGCTCAAATGGAAAGCTGTTGATGGCTAGGTAATTAGGATCAGGGAACAGTGATGAGGGCAAATAGACTTAATTTTGTCTCTGATAGAAGGTGGAGGCTTTTTCTCTCTGAGCTGAATGTTCTTTGAGTTTCTTATGTGCTATATAATTGATTTACTTTTGGAGTTACTCTGGAATGTTGAAGCAATACATACATATATTTAGGTGAGATATCAGCACCTTCTTTGTGTCATGTATTGCTCTGCAAACCATTGAAAGAAGCTGTTTCTTAGTGATAAGTATGTAACTTCAGCTTGCCCTTCACCTGGCTCCCAAAGCCAGCTGCCTGGTTTTCCACAGCCTTAACCACTGCAATGCAGACATTCACACCTCTGAGTTAGATGTACTGTTTTTTTGAAAAAAAGGGTGAAAACTCGTAATGAATGGTAATTCTAAATCCAACAGGATTTGAAAGGTCCATTTCTGCAGAGAGAAATGCAAACCTAGAGTGCCTTTTTCACTTGGTGATATCTAATGTATTGAAATAAATTGCTATTATAGAACAGTATTTTCTGATTTTAGTAGTAGCAGCAGCAGATTGACCAACAACATTGACAAAAGAGCAGAGAAGCTTTGGCTACAGGCTCCCTGCGGTGGACTAAACAACCATTTTCTGCCAGGAATACTTAACAGTATCTAACTAAACTAAAGCTCCTTTCTTCATTGGTTGTACTCCATTTTGTGAAATGTCAGCTGGTGATGTGGCAGTTGTTTTGTGATAAGGTTAAGTGATTCTCAGCTCTGCACAGCTGTCAAAAGTCCTGTGCTGTCTCTTCTCCCAGCCATATATTTTCCCACACTCGCTAGCACTTGGGTGGTGTGATTTTTATGCTGTGCTAAACCAGTCCAAGCTGAAGCCAATGGGAAGTTGAAAGCTTTCATTCTGAATTTGCTTGCTTTGGGTTTCAGGCTTGCTTTAATAACCTTCAGGTTTCCAATTCACCTCCAATCACAAGTTTTGCCATTAGTGAAGGGATGGACTTTAATTGTAACATTAATAGCACGAGTTCTTTTGATAACAGTAATTACTATAAAATTACTAAGTAGTATTCCTGTCTCTCAAAAAGGATTATTTCAGATATTCCATTATCAACGCCTGAAAAAAAACCTAAACCTGTTCTCAGAAAGCAAGACTCTATAATTAATGTTGCTTGGACTTCCTTAGGATTTTAAAAGTTAACCATGAGTACTCTGCTAATGTCATTATAATGCTGGCTGTATTTGCTGATGAAATTTTAATCTGAATGGTATATGCTCTGGTTTCTTTCTAGCACAATGCAGGATGACATTTTCATTCTACATGAACAGGAATATGATAGTTTGCTCGAATCAGTCTTCAAAACTGAGTTTTTAAGCCTCTTATCAAAACGATACGAAGAGAAAACACAAAGAAAACTACCTCTGAAATTTAGCAATACGTGAGTTATGGGGTTTTTTCTCAAGTTTGTTGTGGGGACAGAGGACTGCAGGGTGAGAGGATAAATCTAAAGGAGCCTCAATAAGTAAATGATATTGTGAACATTTTTTTAGAAACAAGGCTGAAAAGCTACAGAATGTTTGATGTGCATTTTAGCAGTAAGGACATGCTGGAAACTATCCCAACAAACATGTGCTTTTGTTAATACTCCTGCCTGGTAAGCAGATGAGCAACAGCAGGCCTTGGATTTGTATGTTTGTTTTCTTAAAAAAAAATTAAAGAATTATAAAAAGTAACAGGAGATTTTAATTTGGCAAAGGTGTAGGAGGACAATTGATGTATGGAACATTCCTGTAGTGTATACTCCTAATATACTGGCAATCCAAAGCCAGTACTAGGAGTCAATTTTTTATTCTTGTAAGGTGTAATGTATTGTACTTCTGAGGGCTTGCCCAAACCAAACCATAACTTCCTTAGCTCATATCTGATTACAGTTCAGAGCAGATGGATAGTGTGAAAACACTGGGAAAGAATATGTATGTGTGTGTGCACCCATGTGGAAAAAAATTTAAATTGGAAAGATTAAAGTATATGTATGCAAAAGAGTTTACTCCCCAAACATGCACAAGGCCCACTCCTAAAGCTTATATTGCATATACGTGCCAATGTATATACATATATATACACATCTAATGTATATATATATCTAATGGTATATAGAGAAGAATGTTTAGAAAGGGAGCACCCTACTGTGCTCCAGTAGAGTCTGCTGCAGAGGCAGTGATGTTTGATGGCGGACACATCTCTCGGTCAGACCTCTGCACATTTTTCCTCAAAGCTCACTGTATTCTCCATCCTCTCCAGGGCATCTTCAGCTTCCTTTGAGTAGCTCTACCAGGAAAGTTAAAACATCAGTTAAGAACAACATTTAAAAAAGCATGAAGAGATATTTCATTAGGTGTTCTATGTCACCTAAGTCACTCAGGGAATACAGATTCTCAGTCTAAGCGTTTTATATTTCTAAGTTATCTGCTGCCAAGTGATATTGTCCTGATTTGACATAGAAATGCTTTCTGGTTTTTTGTTCGTGTGCTTATATTAGACTTGAAATGAAGCTGAAAAAGGAGAGTTGGGGGCCCTGGAGCAGTGCTGGTTCTCGACAAGTGCAATTTATGCAAGGCCAAGGAGATATAGCCATTCTCAAGCCAAGTAATAAAGTGCTGCAGATCAGCATTGGACCAGGGCTACCAAAGAATTCCCGTAAGTATGAATTTCTTTTAGAAATTAGTGAACAGTTTAGAGATTTAAAGAATGGCTGATTCTTTCTCTCCTTGCTTGCCTCTAGCCTCAGCCTGTTCTTTATTATGTCTCTCTAACATTTAAAAGAAGATCCAAGTTACACATCCTAATGATACAGCAGAATTCCATGCTGCTCTACAGTCATGCTGGAATTTTGTTACTTTCACTATATACCAACTGTTTCTGAAATGTCTGAAATTCGTTGCCCTGCGGCAAAAGAAATAAGGGCATTTAATCATGTGACATAGTACAAATGGCACAATTAGCCAAGCATTTTGGGGAAGAGTCTTTCACTCTGCTCTGAGCTCCTGCAGTTCGTACAGTCTGGCTGATGAAGAAAGGACAGGCTGTGATATGAGGAAGGGTAACCTCTGTGCATCACCAAAGATTGAGCTGCAAGTATACCAGCCTCTCAGGTTTTGCGTCCTACCTTTTTCTCATACTAATTGCTGATCAGACACAGTATAATCAAAAATACTGCTGTGCCAGCTATCCATGATTTACAAACAAGTTCATAAAGCTAACGGTCTTTTGGGCCTTGTTTATTGTAGTCTTGAGACAGCTTTACTTTATATCCTGTGGCTGGACTGGATCACAAAAGGGAGAATATGCCCAAGTCATCGTTCTTGCACCTAAAGCTTTAGCACAACTTGGCCAACACTGTAGGGGTCAGATTAATTATTCATGAAGATCGTCTCTTTCTGATCACAGAGTGGAGTCTGGCAGCCAGAAGGACTTACCCAATTAATGTAGTTGTGAAAGGGTAACAAAATGTTGCTGGTTTCTTCTAGGTCCTACTAGACAGAACTTTACCCAAAGTAGAGGGTATTCCAACAGGTCTCAAAGTCAGACTTACCCTATGAGAGCCGCACCACCTCCTCCTGGTAAGTCCTCTTAGCCTTTACTCTTTGTCATCCAGTACATTTCACCCATCAAAAAATCATAGTAAAGGTTTAAAATCATTTTAAAAGATCCTGTCTGCAAAACATATATTGTAGGCATTTTATGAAGTGTATTGCTGGAGTCTGGAGACAATTAAACTGGTATTCCATTAGAGATATCCTGGTTGTCATGGCTGCTGGCATGTTCAGCCATCTAGTATAAGACACTGAATCTAAAACTAACCCCATAGCCTTCTCCCCTTTCCTTTCTAGTGTAAAAGCTATACACTTACCAAGCCACAGACAGTGCTTTGCAATGAAATGGCTTTCAGTACCAATAAACACGAGAATGCAATTTATGTCTCATTGTCCTACCCTGCTACATAACAACTTTTGTATATGCTGAATACTGAGATGTATCAGCTGTGCCGGTAAGTAGCATGGCTTTTTCTGCATGGGATTGATGTCACTAGGGTGTTTCACTTCTGCCCTTGAGAGATATCATTAATGTAGCCTGTGAACTCAGAGAGGAGAACAATATTCCATTGACCCAACATTTCCCAAGTGGTCTGTTTTTTTTTTTTTTTACTTACACTCCCAGAGTATTTTTTTTTAACAAAGGGTTCTCTTTCAGTCAGCTGCTCTTTGTTGAGAAGCACAATGCTAATGGTGTAAGTAAGTTGGGTGTGCTACCAGTCTTGGTCACCAAATTAACTAGATGCTTCCCAGTTATTGTGGTTTAACCCCAGCTGGCAACTAAGCACTACACAGCCGCTCGCTTGCTCTCCCTGCCGTGCCCTGATGGGGGGATAATTGGGGAAAAAAAAAGTAAAACCCATGGGTTGAGATAAAGACCGTTCAATAAAACAGCAGAGGAGTAATAATAATAATAATATAATAAAAAAGAAATATACTACAAAACAAGTGATGGACAGTGCAATTGCTCACCACCCACTGACCCATGCCCAGCCCAGCCCCGAGCAACGATAGCTGCCCCCAGCCAACTCCCCCTTTACCTAATGTCTCAAGTGGGCTAGAACTGTATTTGCATACCTGACAGTCAAGAGCACCTGCATCAGCACTATTATGAAGCTATTTTTAATTCTGCATAAAAAGGTACTCGCAGTCTGTGGAGGGAGTCATAGCCTTCAGTAGCCAGATGAAGAGTGAGGGTCAGAAAGCTAGGACTGCTCCCCCCTTTCAGATTTGTAGAGTCAGCAATTGGACAAACCAGCTGGGAGAGAAAAAGGGAGGAGCATGCTCAAAGTGGAAAGCTGTTGATGGCTAGGTAATTAGGATCAGGGAACAGTGATGAGGGCAAATAGACTTAATTTTGTCTCTGATAGAAGGTGGAGGCTTTTTCTCTCTGAGCTGAATGTTCTTTGAGTTTCTTATGTGCTATATAATTGATTTACTTTTGGAGTTACTCTGGAATGTTGAAGCAATACATACATATATTTAGGTGAGATATCAGCACCTTCTTTGTGTCATGTATTGCTCTGCAAACCATTGAAAGAAGCTGTTTCTTAGTGATAAGTATGTAACTTCAGCTTGCCCTTCACCTGGCTCCCAAAGCCAGCTGCCTGGTTTTCCACAGCCTTAACCACTGCAATGCAGACATTCACACCTCTGAGTTAGATGTACTGTTTTTTTGAAAAAAAGGGTGAAAACTCGTAATGAATGGTAATTCTAAATCCAACAGGATTTGAAAGGTCCATTTCTGCAGAGAGAAATGCAAACCTAGAGTGCCTTTTTCACTTGGTGATATCTAATGTATTGAAATAAATTGCTATTATAGAACAGTATTTTCTGATTTTAGTAGTAGCAGCAGCAGATTGACCAACAACATTGACAAAAGAGCAGAGAAGCTTTGGCTACAGGCTCCCTGCGGTGGACTAAACAACCATTTTCTGCCAGGAATACTTAACAGTATCTAACTAAACTAATGCTCCTTTCTTCATTGGTTGTACTCCATTTTGTGAAATGTCAGCTGGTGATGTGGCAGGTGTTTTGTGATAAGGTTAAGTGATTCTCAGCTCTGCACAGCTGTCAAAAGTCCTGTGCTGTCTCTTCTCCCAGCCATATATTTTCCCACACTCGCTAGCACTTGGGTGGTGTGATTTTTATGCTGTGCTAAACCAGTCCAAGCTGAAGCCAATGGGAAGTTGAAAGCTTTCATTCTGAATTTGCTTGCTTTGGGTTTCAGGCTTGCTTTAATAACCTTCAGGTTTCCAATTCACCTCCAATCACAAGTTTTGCCATTAGTGAAGGGATGGACTTTAATTGTAACATTAATAGCACGAGTTCTTTTGATAACAGTAATTACTATAAAATTACTAAGTAGTATTCCTGTCTCTCAAAAAGGATTATTTCAGATATTCCATTATCAACGCCTGAAAAAAAACCTAAACCTGTTCTCAGAAAGCAAGACTCTATAATTAATGTTGCTTGGACTTCCTTAGGATTTTAAAAGTTAACCATGAGTACTCTGCTAATGTCATTATAATGCTGGCTGTATTTGCTGATGAAATTTTAATCTGAATGGTATATGCTCTGGTTTCTTTCTAGCACAATGCAGGATGACATTTTCATTCTACATGAACAGGAATATGATAGTTTGCTCGAATCAGTCTTCAAAACTGAGTTTTTAAGCCTCTTATCAAAACGATACGAAGAGAAAACACAAAGAAAACTACCTCTGAAATTTAGCAATACGTGAGTTATGGGGTTTTTTCTCAAGTTTGTTGTGGGGACAGAGGACTGCAGGGTGAGAGGATAAATCTAAAGGAGCCTCAATAAGTAAATGATATTGTGAACATTTTTTTAGAAACAAGGCTGAAAAGCTACAGAATGTTTGATGTGCATTTTAGCGGTAAGGACATGCTGGAAACTATCCCAACAAACATGTGCTTTTGTTAATACTCCTGCCTGGTAAGCAGATGAGCAACAGCAGGCCTTGGATTTGTATGTTTGTTTTCTTAAAAAAAAATTAAAGAATTATAAAAAGTAACAGGAGATTTTAATTTGGCAAAGGTGTAGGAGGACAATTGATGTATGGAACATTCCTGTAGTGTATACTCCTAATATACTGGCAATCCAAAGCCAGTACTAGGAGTCAATTTTTTATTCTTGTAAGGTGTAATGTATTGTACTTCTGAGGGCTTGCCCAAACCAAACCATAACTTCCTTAGCTCATATCTGATTACAGTTCAGAGCAGATGGATAGTGTGAAAACACTGGGAAAGAATATGTATGTGTGTGTGCACCCATGTGGAAAAAAATTTAAATTGGAAAGATTAAAGTATATGTATGCAAAAGAGTTTACTCCCCAAACATGCACAAGGCCCACTCCTAAAGCTTATATTGCATATACGTGCCAATGTATATACATATATATACACATCTAATGTATATATATATCTAATGGTATATAGAGAAGAATGTTTAGAAAGGGAGCACCCTACTGTGCTCCAGTAGAGTCTGCTGCAGAGGCAGTGATGTTTGATGGCGGACACATCTCTCGGTCAGACCTCTGCACATTTTTCCTCAAAGCTCACTGTATTCTCCATCCTCTCCAGGGCATCTTCAGCTTCCTTTGAGTAGCTCTACCAGGAAAGTTAAAACATCAGTTAAGAACAACATTTAAAAAAGCATGAAGAGATATTTCATTAGGTGTTCTATGTCACCTAAGTCACTCAGGGAATACAGATTCTCAGTCTAAGCGTTTTATATTTCTAAGTTATCTGCTGCCAAGTGATATTGTCCTGATTTGACATAGAAATGCTTTCTGGTTTTTTGTTCGTGTGCTTATATTAGACTTGAAATGAAGCTGAAAAAGGAGAGTTGGGGGCCCTGGAGCAGTGCTGGTTCTCGACAAGTGCAATTTATGCAAGGCCAAGGAGATATAGCCATTCTCAAGCCAAGTAATAAAGTGCTGCAGATCAGCATTGGACCAGGGCTACCAAAGAATTCCCGTAAGTATGAATTTCTTTTAGAAATTAGTGAACAGTTTAGAGATTTAAAGAATGGCTGATTCTTTCTCTCCTTGCTTGCCTCTAGCCTCAGCCTGTTCTTTATTATGTCTCTCTAACATTTAAAAGAAGATCCAAGTTACACATCCTAATGATACAGCAGAATTCCATGCTGCTCTACAGTCATGCTGGAATTTTGTTACTTTCACTATATACCAACTGTTTCTGAAATGTCTGAAATTCGTTGCCCTGCGGCAAAAGAAATAAGGGCATTTAATCATGTGACATAGTACAAATGGCACAATTAGCCAAGCATTTTGGGGAAGAGTCTTTCACTCTGCTCTGAGCTCCTGCAGTTCGTACAGTCTGGCTGATGAAGAAAGGACAGGCTGTGATATGAGGAAGGGTAACCTCTGTGCATCACCAAAGATTGAGCTGCAAGTATACCAGCCTCTCAGGTTTTGCGTCCTACCTTTTTCTCATACTAATTGCTGATCAGACACAGTATAATCAAAAATACTGCTGTGCCAGCTATCCATGATTTACAAACAAGTTCATAAAGCTAACGGTCTTTTGGGCCTTGTTTATTGTAGTCTTGAGACAGCTTTACTTTATATCCTGTGGCTGGACTGGATCACAAAAGGGAGAATATGCCCAAGTCATCGTTCTTGCACCTAAAGCTTTAGCACAACTTGGCCAACACTGTAGGGGTCAGATTAATTATTCATGAAGATCGTCTCTTTCTGATCACAGAGTGGAGTCTGGCAGCCAGAAGGACTTACCCAATTAATGTAGTTGTGAAAGGGTAACAAAATGTTGCTGGTTTCTTCTAGGTCCTACTAGACAGAACTTTACCCAAAGTAGAGGGTATTCCAACAGGTCTCAAAGTCAGACTTACCCTATGAGAGCCGCACCACCTCCTCCTGGTAAGTCCTCTTAGCCTTTACTCTTTGTCATCCAGTACATTTCACCCATCAAAAAATCATAGTAAAGGTTTAAAAATCATCTTAAAAGATCCTGTCTGCAAAACATATATTGTAGGCATTTTATGAAGTGTATTGCTGGAGTCTGGAGACAATTAAACTGGTATTCCATTAGAGATATCCTGGTTGTCATGGCTGCTGGCATGTTCAGCCATCTAGTATAAGACACTGAATCTAAAACTAACCCCATAGCCTTCTCCCCCTTCCTTTCTAGTGTAAAAGCTATACACTTACCAAGCCACAGACAGTGCTTTGCAATGAAATGGCTTTCAGTACCAATAAACACGAGAATGCAATTTATGTCTCATTGTCCTACCCTGCTACATAACAACTTTTGTATATGCTGAATACTGAGATGTATCAGCTGTGCCGGTAAGTAGCATGGCTTTTTCTGCATGGGATTGATGTCACTAGGGTGTTTCACTTCTGCCCTTGAGAGATATCATTAATGTAGCCTGTGAACTCAGAGAGGAGAACAATATTCCATTGACCCAACATTTCCCAAGGGGTCTGTTTTTTTTTTTTTTTTACTTACACTCCCAGAGTATTTTTTTTTAACAAAGGGTTCTCTTTCAGTCAGCTGCTCTTTGTTGAGAAGCACAATGCTAATGGTGTAAGTAAGTTGGGTGTGCTACCAGTCTTGGTCACCAAATTAACTAGATGCTTCCCAGTTATTGTGGTTTAACCCCAGCTGGCAACTAAGCACTACACAGCCGCTCGCTTGCTCTCCCTGCCGGGCCCCGATGGGGGGGTATGTGCTACCAGTCTTGGTCACCAAATTAACTAGATGCTTCCCAGTTATTGTGGTTTAACCCCAGCTGGCAACTAAGCACTACACAGCCGCTCGCTTGCTCTCCCTGCCGTGCCCTGATGGGGGGATAATTGGGGAAAAAAAAGTAAAACCCATGGGTTGAGATAAAGACCGTTCAATAAAACAGCAGAGGAGTAATAATAATAATAATATAATAAAAAAGAAATATACTACAAAACAAGTGATGGACAGTGCAATTGCTCACCACCCACTGACCCATGCCCAGCCCAGCCCTGAGCAACGATAGCTGCCCCCAGCCAACTCCCACCCAGTTTATATACTGAGCATGATGTCATATGGTATGCAATACCCCTTTGGCCAGTTGGGGTCAACTGTACTGGCTGGGGCCCCCCCCCCCACCCCACATCCTTGTGCCCCTGGCAGAGCACTGGAAGCTGAAAAGTCCTTGCCTGGTGTAGGCACTGCTAAGCACCAACTGAAACATCAGTGCGTTATCAACATTATTGTCATACTAAATCCAAAACACATAACTACGCAACTATGAGGAAGAAAAGTAACTCTATCGCAGCTGAAATGAGGACACCAGTCCTAGTAAAACCTTGTAGCTGTATGAGTCAATCTAAGACTGTGTGATCTGCAAGAACTGCTTGTAGTAAAGTGGGAAATTATCCTAGTTAAAGGAAATTACAGTAGTTTAAAGTTACCTGTCTGCAAACACAGGTAGTAAATATTCATACGGAATGAGTTAAATCACGGAAAGTGTTCTAATATTTTCAAAAACTCTTTCATCAATTTTATAGCTACCTTAAAAAGACAAAGAACATTGGTTGAAGAAGCCTTGTGCCTGCAGACCAAGCCCAAACTTGCCTCATGTAGGTAAGGTAGTTTGGATATAGATTTGCATGCAAGTCCGAGGCACCAGTGGATACCCATATCTGCAGTGTGGCCTTTTGAGGTCATATATCCCTGAGTCCTCATGACAGCTCCTGAACAGACGTGTCCACAGAGAGTACTAATTAGAAGAACCTGTCTCTGTGTGCAGCAAGACACTAGGTTATTTTCTGCATGGGATTGATGTCATCAGGGTGTTTTGCCTCTGCCCTGGAGAGAAAAAATTAATTTAGCCTGTGAATTCTGAGGAGATAACAATATTCTATTGACCCACAATTTCCCACATGTTCAACTGTGGAGTTGAACTAGATGTTCGTGGACCAGTGAAATCACACTGTAGTGTCCAGGCAGGATAAGTGTAACCACTGAAGATAAATGCTATGTTGACCCTTATGCATTAGGGTATCGTGTTTAAAAGGTGAGTAGAAGTCTTTCATACAGACCTCAAGTCAATTCCATAATGTGTCTTGGCGATTTTGTTTGTTTGTTTGTTGTAAAGTAGCCAATTATAGCTGGAAAAATAAGACTGAAGACAGCTGTTACAAAAGAGTTCCAATTAGATTGTCCAGACTTTCAAGGAGTCTGAGGCAATTATGTGATTTGGGCACATTCCTCCTTGAAAGTCACAAGCAATTCTCTCCATCCATTGTCCTTGATAATTTGAAATGTATTCTGCTGTTTTCACATCTGTTGTGAAATCAATGGTCCAGTAACTGAACAGACTGTTACGTCTATGTTCAGAATAAAAGTAAGGTTTTTCCAAGTGTCATGATTATGAGTTCCCCTCTCTGCACAGCTATTCATTCTGCACATTTTCAACAGGCATAAGCATAAGAGAGACCATAACCCACAGCATTAACCAATCTGATTTTTAATACAAGCATAGTTCCCATTTTATTCAGTGGGGGTTTTAGGAATGTAAAGCATGAAGGAATTGAGCTTCTTAGGCCCTGATCCTGCAAGGAGCTAAGACATGGGTGGGTTTGTTTTAAATTCAAGTTAGAGGCACAGTTATTTAAAGGCATTTACCCTTGTCATCGCCTAGAAACTCCTTTTGAGCTATCAAAATAGCAGCAAGGCTTAAAAAAAAAAACCAAACTAAAACAAAAAAACCCCATGAAATAAACCCTTGCTTGTTAAAATAGACAAATATTTATAGCAACTTAAAAAGCAGTCTACCCAGTATTTAGGGAGTTGGATGGAGTTTCAACTTTTTTAAAGAGACCCCCAGCAATTCTATCTAGCTTTAGATCAACCTTTACCTGGATAAAATTTTATGCAGTATTTTAAATAGAGGTGTGGTAGTTACATGCTAGCTAACATTAGTAAGGTTGAATTCAGCCGAGGGCTAATCCTCTTGCTTGTAACATTCAAGGCACATGCCTCAGACTTGAGCACAACTCCATATAGACATGAACCCAAAATAGACTGCCAGCAGACCTGAAACTGGGTATAAATCACAGTTTAAGATTTCAACATTATTTTGTTTTCAAGTTCCTTGATAGCAGAGTCTCACTGACGGCTGAGCCATCAACACAAGGAAAAGGTTACCTTTATTGAGCAGTAGTTTGGACTGGAGGTATTCATACTTTATTTACTTCCAGGTCAGCAGCAAAATGGAGTAATAAATCCCCCCCAGTTTGTACCACTTCCCCATGCCTCAGGAAATCAACGGGCCAATCAGAAAAACCTGTATACAAATATGACACGACCAAGTTTACCACGGCAACTGTCAGGAGGATCAGGCAAGATTTCACAGCAACCAGAAAGCTTGGATTTCCTGAAAGTACCTGACCAAGGAGCAGCCGGGTAAGATTTTACATTAAATCTGAGAAAAAAATGTCAATTTTTGTGAATAGCTTCACACATTCAAACTCTTCATGACTGATAAATGTGTATTGTGTACATAGATGATCAGATTGTGCTATTGAGCTGTACTCAAAGATCATCTTCCATAGGATTTCAAAACACATACTCCATTGTAAGCCTTTAGGAATGAAGGTGAACCAGTTCTAGTTTAATATCTTACATTTGCACAGTACCTTCTACTTAAGGATATTAAGACACTTGGCAGAGTTTAACAAAGCCTTCTTTCCCCTCTAGTTTACAGATCATGAACAACAGATGTGGTATTTTATGGCAACTGTCGTGCACAGAAATGCTGGCTAATAGTCCTTGTGTTTCAGCTTTGACTCCCGACTCATATACCAGACTTGTACTTCTTTTTATGACAAAGGCTTGGCAGCATGTCATTCAAGATTATTTCAGGATCATTTGGACTTATAAGCTCCAGCCTCCCAGAATATGTTACTAGGACCATCCTACAGGATTTGGGGGTGGGCGAGTCTTGCTGTTGTAACTAGGTATTTCCCAATAGCCAAAAGCATCAAAACAATCACCAGAAGTAGAAGAAAGACGGAACCAAGAAATCAGGGGCTTAGCAGAGGGAAGCAGAACAAGTTGTTCTCAACTCTGAAACCAGCTGCTCCAAGTCTTGACTGAAAATCAGGCAGAACCTCTGATTTGTGGAAAGTCTTCTGTCGAATATTTATGGGACTTTAGTGCTTCAGAATGTTAAAGGCCTTACAAAATTTTACATTTTTCAGTGACTGAACAGTTCTACTTTAACTCAGCCCTTATATTCCACTCTCTTGTAGAACATTAATGCAGCTTTACTATAGTGGGAATTCGAGTGCCACTTAATTGTCAAAGACTGCTGCCTGTTTAGCAATTTTAGCAAAAAAAAAAAGAGAATCTGGTTTTGAATAAGCAGTTTGTGTTTCTCCTGCTGATGACTTCCTATTTGCATCATTTAATTCTCATATAACGAAGTCTCAGAGAAATTACTACTGGTAACAGCTGGTTGTCCAAGAGCATATTAAATCAACAAGTAAAGTTACATTAGCAGATAGAATAAAAATCCACTGTGGTAAAGTGCAATAACTTTGCATAGTAATGGTTAGTGCAGGCACAATTCTATAGTCCACAGCTCTTCAAGTAAATACCATTGAGAAGTACCTCCTTGTTAAGTAGGAAAGCCCTATGTATGTTGAAGAAGCCATCATTCTTACATCTCTGTCCAGATAATACTGAGGGGAAAAACAAGAGGAAATTTGGACTTTCCCTGCTGAGAACTCCATATTTGCAGGTTCTTTGTAAATTACATTGAATGTCCTCCTCAGCTTCTCTTCCTCCAAATGGTCTCTCTCTCTTTCTCCTGCTTGCAAAAGATTGTTACCCTGCTCTGTCACGAGGGACACCTTGTGGCCCAGCCTCCGGCAGACAGCCGGCCGACGGCAGTTAGCGTTATGTTGCACCAGTGCCCTGACTGATGCGTTGCAGAGCCTGAGCCTTTGCTTACCACAACAGCTAGAGCACCACATATCCCCTTGAAGGTGACTGTAAAAGTTTGAAGTAAAACCAGAGACACTGCTGTAGTAAGAATTTTGCTGAAGGAAGTGCCCAAGTATTTAAAAGTCTCCCACAACCCCATTCTAGTATTCTTTCACCCTTATCATACATTGTCCACTGAAGTAACACAGCAGTGACATGCCACATTCAAGGATTTCTGTTGTTGCTCACTAACACTTAAACAGTCATGATATTTTTACTCTGAGCTGCCAGTTGTGACCCAAAATCCCAGGCCTGACAGCAAATCATTTTGCCAAATATAGAAGAGCTTGCAGTTGGGGTAATCTGGGAGAAATCAGGATTGAAGTCAAACTTTCACCAAGTTTCCCACCTGACCCTCTGCAGCCCCCTAACATATTTGCCCTCAGCCCTGGAGCATTCCAAGGGATTAGATGGAACAGCTCAGGTCCTTTCTCCAGTCAGCCATATCAATGCAGGTTCTTAGAGGCAGCAAAACATAACTTATTTTTTAACCATATCAAGAGCAACTTTTTGTACCAACAGACCCTTCTCAGCTGTCAGTCAGTAGGCAAGCGCAGATGTTCTGCACTAAATTCTCCTGTTGGCCTAACCATTCTTCGTTGTGTGCTATCCAGCTGGCTGCAGCACCCATTTAGCTTGTTACTTACAATGTTGCTTCTAGTGAGCATTAGACATCCCATAGAAAGCAAATAAATAATAAGTGTACACAGAACTGATAGATTTTCAGTTACCAAAGAAGAGCACAGGGTTCTTAAGCAGGGGCTTTCCAGTTCCTGAACACAAACAGTAGGTGTGGTCAGCCTGCCAGCAAAATTAAGCACGCAGTGTCTTTTCAGTTGTACTTACAGCAGTCATCTTTTCCCACTGTGCACCAAGTGTTAGCCATAAGATATTATGAGCATACTTAAAGCATTTTTCTGTTTAAGATCCATCTTCAAATGAGAAAGAAATCAGAAACAAGTGGCTGCTACTGCTTACTGTAACAATTTCAAAACCGTCAGCACATGCTAACACTTTCAGACACATTTCTGTCTTTGTAAACTAGTAACTTCCATGCCTTTACGTGATGAAATCTCATCGCCTATCAACTTACTCTGTTAAAGCTGTTTTTCTAATATTATTAGACTTCTACTTTGTCTTGAGCCTACGGTTCATGTAACAACCAAAACCAGTAAGAAATCACAATGGCTTTATCCCGTTGCTATCAGACAACTGTGACTGATGCATGCAATACTGTAAAGTGTAGCAGCCTCCAAGTACACAATGAGATAGGAACTATGGTGTTGGATTGAAAAGATGGGTCACATCATTATACCACAGTTCCTAATGCTATGGGTACATACTAACAACCCCATCTGTTTCAGTCTTACAAGTTTACAAAGATGATGAGCATGTATTAAAGCTTCTATTACTTACTTACCTTTTTAAATGGCAGTTATGATCGATGCAGTCCAAGGAAAGGGAAAAAACCCAAACCAACAACAAAACACACTTTATTAGAATGACGTCATCACTGTCTGCCCCAGTTTTCACTGATAACTGTGTATGCTCAAGAGTGGTAGAAAAAAACCCCACAAACAGCCCCAGCGGCAATTGTAACCAGAACAAGGAAGGAACAGGCATCCATCGCTCCCCTCTGCATGTTTTTTTGTGAGGTCAAGCTTCTCTACAGGAAGCCACAAGTAAGACAAAGGAGCACCTAGTAACGTAGCTTGTGATTCTGAGGAAAGAGAGAGGGAAGAGGATGTTGGGGAATGAGGGTTGTTGTGTTTTGTTCTTCTGGCTTAGTTGCAGTTTGTTTTTTTTTTCTTTCAAAGATAGCCACAGCTGTCAGCAATGTGCAGTAGCAATGTAGATGCTACTGTGTAAGGTAGGGGAACATCTAAAAAGGGCCTGGCAAAGTCATTTCTTAGACCTTAATGTTCCAATGTATGAGCTGCTGCCTGTTTAGTACACCCTGCGCATTCATTGGATTGCATTTCCCAAAGTGTAAAATGGTATTTTGGTCAGACATGATGGAAAGTGCCCACTCAGAGAAGCAGAGTGCAGCCCAGTGAGGCTAATTTCAGGTAGGCATTCAGGTAGGCACTAGGTAAAATTTGATTTTACATCTGTATGACTTCAGAAAGTGGTGGTCTAATCTAGGAACTGGAGTTTTTTTGACACAGCGTAGTCAATGCTTTGTTACTGCTAGTAATACCATGTTCTGAGCACACAGTCAAAAGACCAATTTGTATCACCATAACATTAATATGCTGTAGTTCTTGTCCCTACCAGTACTAACCGTCACTCAGGCGTGTTTCGGCAGATGCTCGCAGGGCCCCTTTGTAGCCTGGTTTCCAAGCGGAAGGGAGCCCTGCACCGCTGTCACCAGCACCGCTTTGCCAGCAGAACTTCAGCCAACAGCTGGTGCAGAGGTGGCTCGAGGGCAGGCTCCTCGGGGTAAAGCGGGGGGCGGGACACGACACCCCGAAACACGCAAAC